ATAAAAGATTTTTTTTTTTTTAAATCTAGATAAGATAAAAAGCTTTAATATGGTACAAAGCTTTCTCGTGCAAAATCCTCCTCGCTTCTCTCTATCTCTATCTCTCTCTCTCTCTCTTTCTCTCGTAATAAAATATGTACGACTATAAGAGCATCTCATCATAGTTATTTTTGCAAAATATTCTATGCTCCGTGGCGATAAGAAGCGGTAGGTGATAATATTTCACTATGGTAACGTTAGGACATCGTAGTGACATGTGAAAAATGTTACACGCAGAGAATATATTTGCTTTTTACGCGATAACATTCAACGAATTTCTTCTTCTTCTTCTTCTCAGTGCTCGATATTATTACGGAGAACGTGACGAATAAGATCTATATAATATCGTACGAGAAAAGTTTTCTTTGCATTTTCCAAAAGATAAACCGAACGTAAATATTTTCTTTCGATATATATATATCTATATATATATATTGTGTTTTATGATATCGAACAATAGGAAAGAATATTTCTTGTTTGATTTATTAGTAAGACAATGGGGGAGAGAGAGAGAGAGAAAGAGTATTTTGAGGAAGGGGATAAGAATAAGAAAAAGAAAAAGAATCAAAATGACTATTTAGAGAGATAAGTTATCGTTAATAAAAGGTGAGTTGGATTATATTGCAAAATTTAATTGTAAGTTTAATGGAAATATAAATATAAATATAATTAAATTTTAAAACTATCTCGAGGAGAAATATAATATAATAATTTACTCACGAATATAAAATACGCTAAAACACTTAACTATATTTTCGTTCGTATCATGATAATCAAATAATTTCGAATAAATTTCGATCAAATCGAACGAAAATAACTTGAATCGTAAATGATTTTCATGAGATCGTGAGATTGATCGTAAATCTTTTCAAATGTATAAAAACAAACCATTTTCTCTTCCCCTTCCTCTTCCACCCCACATCCACCCACTTTCTTAGTCCCGATTTAAAAAAAAGGAAGACACGAGATTCGTTATCAAAAAATAATTTGATGTTAAAAAAGTGTCTAAACGTTAAAATATCAAATTTTTGAAGAGAAATCAAATGAAACAAAGGGACAAACAACATCGAGGGTTTCAAACCTCCCCTCCCCACACACCCACACCCTCACCAATTGTCTCTTTGAAGTGTGCGCGCGTGTGTGATTTTGTTTTTCAAAGTAGTTTATTATTTTTCCCAATTTCGAGCCCACCCTCAACCAATTGTCTCTTTGAAGTGTGCGTGTGTGGTTTTGATTTTTTTCAAAGTAGTTTATTTTCTTTTCTTTTTTTTTGTTTTTTTTTTTGTTTAGCGAATTAGTATCTTAGAAATTAGACTCGTGAAAGCGGCTTTGTTGTTGTTGTGTTGGCAGAGTCTTTACGGGCGGCAATCCCCGGAGCCTCGCTCGTCGCGGCCGACTGTCCCGGCTACTGCAGTTCAAGCATAACGGAGGGTATTTGTATCGTTCCTTGAACAAAAAAACAAAAAAATAGAAACAAGAAAAAAAAAAATACATAAAAAAGAAAAATCGAACGAAAGAAACCGGGGTCGGGTTCGGGAACGGGTTGTTAAAGGGGAAAAAAAGAGAAATATATAATCGAACGAACGTAAGAAAGGGGTGTGAAAGATTGTCAAGGGTGTGAAAGAAATTTATACCAAATCGTTAATCATAAATGCTAAAGATATTTATGATTGAATTTTTCTTATTATTATTCAAATTATATCATATATATATATATATATATATATATATATACTATAAACTCGTGTGTATGTGTGTATACATATGTATATATTGAAATTTATGAAATAATTGATTTATTTACTAATTTGAGAAAATGTTATTATAGAAATATAATTGAATAATTAATAATTGTTAATAAGATAACGATATGATAAGAAAATGATCATATATATTTGTGCACGCGTATACACGATTTATATTTTTAAATCGAGATGAGATAAATTTTTAACTTGCAATACAATTATCTCGCATTGATATTCATTTTGTTGAATAGAGACAAAAATATACAATTATTTTATTTCTTTCGCATTTATGATGTAACGCTTAGTATTTTAATAATGAATCAATGAGATGATATGTTGTGATGATGGAGTAAGAATGATAAGAGAGAACGAATGAGAAAACAAAGGTGAATGAAAATTTGATTGAGAATGTGTAAAGAAAGAAAGAAAGAAAGAAACAAGAAAGATAACAGGTAAGAATCGCATTAATATATACCTATACATATTACAAGTTTTAAATTGAACTAAAATAAAGATTAGTTAGAATAATCATGTGAATAACGACGAATGAGAAGACAGGAAGTTGATCCTGTATTTAACTGGATGTACATAACGACAAATCGAGCAATACGATTAGACAATGGTTCGTGGTCGTTGCGGTAGGAGAAGACAAGGGTCTAGTTAATTAATCTATGTTTGGCTATTACTAGTAAACACGCGATTAGACAATTCTATTCCGATGTATTCCTTAATTACCCACAAGGAAATACGTAGGGCGTTAAACGATCGTTCCAAGTGTTTCCCATTATATCCACTTCAATTTAAAGGGTTTCATTTCAATTCGATTTTATATACGCGATTATATTTTTTCTTTTTTTTCATTAAAAAAGTATTATATACACATATATACATATATAACGAATAAATCACGTGCTTGGTTTATTCTTATTTCGTATTATTTTGTCTACTTTTTCATCTTCTTCTCTCTTCTTTTTTTTTTTTTTTTTTTTAAAAAAAAAAAAAAAAAAAAAAAAAAAGAAAATTGATACTTCAATGATATTATTGTTGATCGTTTAATTCAATAATAAATTCATCTTTTTTCGTTGTGTCGTTATTGTTTAACTTCGCGCACGGAAGTTTTCTATCAAAAATAAAGAAATCATTTTCGAGTAAAAGTGATACTTCAATGATATTATTTTTGATCGTTTAATTCAATAATAAGTTCATATATTGATCTCTCATGTTAAAATAAATGTTAAAACGGAACCCCCTTTTTTCGCGTAAATTCGACTTTAGTAAGTATAATTTTTCAACGAACGAATTACTCGATTTTCTAGTAACAAGTATAATCCCACCCTGGAGAGGAATCGTCATTTAGTCGATGTACTCTCTATGAAAAGCTATATAACTACGCTAAGCCATGGGCTTTTTCGCGAATCCCGCATTCCCGCAAACCCCTTTTCATCGTCGATCGATTAATCGAAAGGATAAAGTGCAGACACTCTAGAAGCAGATTTCGTTTTGTAACAACCAATCGATAATCCACCCACCATCCGAATAAGATAAAAAACGATTTAACCTAATGGATAAAATTATATCGTTTTTCAACTATAATATCAATGATAACAATTGTTTTGTTGTTTGTTTTTTTCATTTCGAATTCGATAGCTGTGACAAAATTAAATAAAACAAAAAAAAAAGTAACAAATTACTATAAGTTAAACAAAAAATATGATACAACATATTTTTTTTTTTTTTAATATACACATACTATGTGACAAAATTAAATAAAGCAAAAAAAAAAGAAACAAATAACTAGGTTAAACAAAAAAAAATATGATACAACATTGAAAGTTACGATTGTAAAATCGTTCATTTATTTCTTTTTTTAATATACACATACTATACAAACCTAAGTGTTTTTTTTTGTATATATGTGTATCTATGTGTGTGTATGTGTGAGTATGTTAGTTCTCATCCGTGGTTATACGATACGATAGAGTTCATTATTATTCCACTTATAAACGAGTTGTCCTGTTCGACGTTTCATCGAATAAACCGTGCTTCAATCATGCCCATTATCCTGTACGAATAATCCAAGTGATATTCACGTTGTCCAAGTAATTAGTCGTCGATGTCATGTTCAACAGGACGAATGCTAGTTTGCCAATACTAAATGCAGATTCGATGGCACATTCGGATAGGGGGTGTGATAAACTAACTTAATTACGATCGTTTGTTTAGTCATCATATTTGTTTCTACAGTCAAGAAAGTATATATATATATATATATATATATATATATATATATATACATATATGTTATAAATCCATTTCAATTATGAGTTATTATAATTCGATTAGATATTTTCTTTTTTTTATTTTTATCTTTCTTTTTTTATTCGAATAAATTAAATTTCGTAAAATCGAACGAATATTGTTGAGAATAGTTGCTCGTTTTGAAGGATCTAGGAGAACGGATTCGTGCAATTTGAAAAAAAAAAAAGAAAAAAAAGTAACATCGGAAAAACCCGCGACAAGTAGATTTCGTCGGAAGTAGAGAGAACGCTAATCCTCTTGGAATTAAAATCCTGATTCCTTCGGACCAGAGAGTAGGATATCGAAAGATGTAATGACCACCAACCCGATGAATTTCTTACTTAAGAGAGAGAGAAAAAGTAAAAAGAAAAAAAAGAAAAAATGAGAGACAGATTACACTAAGGTAAATGATTTCCGCCGTAAGAGAGGGAATTACTTCGATTAAACTATTTGTGTTCGTTCCTTCGTGAAATGAAAGAAAATTTCTATCAAGATTCTTTTTTTCTTTATTTTTCTCTCTCTCTTTTTCTTATTCCACGCGTTAGAACAAGAAATTGTTCATTGCAATTATAATAGAAAATTTAAAATTTATATATATAGATATATTCAAAAATCTGTTTTTCAATATCTTTAATCGAGAATAATTTAATTATTTAAAGAAAGGGAAAATAATAAATATATTTATTAGTTCAACGATTGACAACATTTTACGATAGATTTAAATGCAATATTCTCAATATTTCTCGAAAGGATCTTTACAAATATTTTATACAGATGGATACGATCAATCGATTCTTTAGAATTTCCGAGATCACAGCAATATTCCTAATACGAATATTTCAGATACATTCTACATAAATGTATATACAATCATCTCATGCTAGTCTCTCTATTCTCTCTCTCTCTCTTTAACGATTTATGCATTTTATAGATATTCAGTTATCAGATAGAACGTATTTTTAAATCAGTTCTAGTGAAATTTGGTATATCGATCAATTCGAAAATGTCTTTAACGTATCGTATCAGGTAAACGTATTTGACGAGAAATATATAAAGGAAAACTATTCTCTTATTCGTAAAATTCAAATGAACATTCTCAACTATATGACGTTGAAAAATTTATTTAACGTTTGATAAATAAGAAATAAATCTTACTGAACGTGTGTTTTTGTATCAATAATTAGTTCGATTGATCGATAAATCGAACGCGAATACCGACTATGTTACTTTCAGGTTAATTAATTTTAATTTGGATAATTAATTATTTTGTAATTAAAATCGATATATCAAGGATAAGATGGGTTCACTAGACGTGAAACCGGATACAAGTTCATTTCATTCTAATACATTGAAAACTATTTCACGTTAGTGCAAATCCTCGCGATACCATACTAGCATAACTTCACCTGAGGTCAAATCGTAAACCTAATTTCTCAGTTCCATGGACTTTAGCCTCGGGCTTCTGATTCCTTCTCAATTTCTTCGATAAACTCGATACGTTTATACGATCGAGTAGGGTGGTCCATAACTATCTTCAGTCAAAATATAATAAAACAAACGTAATATATATGATCTTTCTTTTTTTCGATTATTAAAAAATAATAATATAGAAAAAATATTTTTCTTATTATATAATAATTATTCATTAATTAAATTCTATTTGTTATAAGTTATTTAATCCGAGAAAACGTAGATACATTTTTATAAAGGGGGAAAAAGAAAAAATTATACTTTTCTGTTATATCAAATCAAAACGTTCTTTCTTTCTAATCTGATAATTTATTCGAATCTATTACCACGTTTTATATTAAATTCGAATAAATTTTTCAAATATCTAAATCTCTCAGATACAAGATTTATCTAAATTTGTATTTTAATTTTTAACTCGTTTACGAAAGAAAAATAAGATCCTCTCTGTTCGATATGAGGACAAAAATAAAAAAAAGAATAAAATATTATAAAAAAAAGAAAAAAAAATTCGAAGAGAGAATTTGTAAAAAAATTTCAATTATTTCCTTATACATGGAGAGAGCAAAAAAAAAAAAATAAAATAAAAGGTGGTACATCGTAATACCGCGTCAAAGGGTCAAAGAAGCATCATCATCGATCTTGGGTTATGACGTAAAAGGCGGCACGTCATCGATCAAGGGAATGAGAATATTATAAATATATATTCGCTTGGACGAATGTGTGTGAATTTTCTTCTAACGATGCTTTTTTCCTTATATTATATTATTACGTATGTGGAATAAATGACGCAAACGTTCGACAATATCGTATCGTATCTTATCTTATCGTATCGCATCGCATCGGAAAGTTTCATTAAGTCGGAAAATACGATGATCGAATTAGTTGGATGAATAGGGAGGGTAAAGGGCAAACGGTGAGAGAACAAGATAGGACGATCTACGATATTCCTTTGGGTTAAAAAAAAGCAGAAGAAGAGAACAAAATAATAATAATAATAATAATAATATTAATAAGAGAGAGAGAGAGAGAGAGAGAGAGGGGGAGAGAGAGGAAATAGGCGTATTGACTGAAAAAATATCGCGCATATAGAGGGTTGAAAACGTAAGAAAATTCTCGAGAAAGCAACGAGTAAGCCAAAGAGAATGAGAGAAAAGGGAAATAAACGGGTTCGAAAGAAAAAGAGGGGGAGGGAAGGTGGATGTAGATGCGAGAATGTGTTTTTGTATGCGTGTGAGTGTATGTCAGTGTATAAAAGAGAGAGAGAGAGAGAGAGAGAGAGAGAGAACGTGACTGAAAAAGAAAAGATATAGAGAATGGTAAAAGAGAGTTCGAGGTCATCAAAGGAGGAAGAATTTCGTGCCGGAAGGGTGGAAAGGAAACGAGACGGAAGAGAATTTTTGGTATGGAAGGAACGTGGAACAAAACAGTGAGAAAGAGAGAGAGAGAGAGAGAGAGAAAGTTTACATATGTGGTACGTGTATGTATGTGTGTATGTATAAAAGAGTAAAAAGAAGAAGAAGAAGAGGAAAAAGAAGAAGAAGAAGAAGAAGAAGCAGAACAAGTACATAGAAGAAGGAAACGTGTGTATGTATATGACAGAGATAAAAAGTAAAACTAGAAGCTGCTGGTATGGTGCATCAATGCGTTTGAAAGAAATCAGGAAAGTGTGTGTGTATGTGTATATATATAAGCGTATATTTGTTCGTGCAAGTGTGTATGTTCTATGTATACGTGTAAAAAAGTGCGAGCGAGCGAGTCAATGAGTGAGTGAAACGGAATGAGAGAGGGAGGAATGAAGATTGCAGGAATCTATATAATAATAATAATAATAATAATAAAGAAATAAAAAAATAAATAAAAAAAGAAAGAAGGGATGGAAGGAAGGAAGGAAGGAAGGAAGAAAGAAAAAAAGAAAGGGATGGATTATGATGAATAAAGAAAATGAGAAAGGCTCCGGCGGGGGCCGCTCGTCAAAAATCATCGAGGACACTGATCACATCCATCTTGGACTGATTGGCTCTTTTTCTCGGTTCATGATTCGCAGGTATGTCTTCACGATAGTCAGCTACCTGATCGGAGTCTTCATATTCGCAACGATCGTCGGACAGGTTGGAAACGTGATCACCAACAGGAACGCTAATCGTTTGGAGTTCGAGAGACTGCTTGACGGCGCGAAAACTTATATGAGACATCACAAAGTACCTGGGGGAATGAAAAGGAGGGTTCTAAGGTGGTACGACTACAGCTGGTCACGTGGTAGAATACAAGGTGGCGGTGATATCAACACCGCTTTGGGTCTACTTCCTGATAAACTCAAGACAGAACTCGCTTTACACGTCAATCTTGCGGTACTCAAGAAGGTTACCATTTTTCAGGTGAGATCATATTCGATCTCTTTTTCTTCTTCTTCTTTTTTTTTTTGTGTAATTATTAAGAAGGGAAAGATGAAGAAGAAGAAGTTGCCGAGTATATACTTTCTTTTTATATCATCTTTATTTATTTTGTTTCTTTTTTTTCTTTTAGCACATTCTCTTTAATTCTTCATGCATTTCTTATAGTACATTTTATAGATCCTTCTATTATATATCTGGATTCATTATTTCGATTCTCTCCCCTTTTTTGATTCCAGTTCCATGCTTCCGTTCTTACATATACGATTGACCTAGCTTGTTACAGTAATGCTTTGCTTCTGGCATACTCAAGTACAATACTTTCTGGATCCTTTCACGAATAAATTATATTCGAGTTTGGAAAAGAGAGTAAGACATTTGCGAGAATAAAATGTGTGGAATAATGATAAAGATATTTTGAGAAAAAAAAACAAACATAAATATCCAGTTGTTGTTGTTGTTATTGTTGTTGTTGTATTAATTGATTCAAAAAATAATTATTAATACTTAATCGTTCTTGCAATCATTGCGATCATTTATCTCTTTGAGTTTCTTAAAGAAAAAAAAAAACAAAAAATAATAATAATAATAATAATAATAATTACCACGTTAACGCGTAGTCAATTAATGATAGAATATTTTGATAGTTGTTCTCGTTTTATTTCACGTGACCCGGAACGAGGTGAAATTTACTTAATGGTCCAGCACTCGGCAACAACCTCCTCCTTTACGATCGATACAGTTTTTGTAAAAGCCCAGAGAGTACACACATTCACGTTAGAATAACTCAAAAGAAGATTCTCCTTTAGAATTCGTTCTAACTCAAGAAAGCTGACCCCCTCCTTCTCCTCCACCATCACCATCATCACCACCACCACCAGACCATTCAACGAGCAATTCGAAATTTTCTACGATCTTTTACAATTTTTGCTTGTTATTTTTATCGTTGAGGGGAAGAAAGGGAAAGAGAGGAAGGAGGGAATATCGACGTCTGAAACGTTCGATAGAAGAGTTTTTATATTCGTACGAAATACGAGAAAAGGGGAAAAAATAAAACAAGAGAGAGAGAGAGAGAGAGAGAGGGGAAAAGCTATGGTACCCATATATATTTTCGAGGATTTTCGAAGCATCGTTCGTCGTATTGTAGAAAAGAACAATCGATCTGCGAACGAGATCGTTTCTTTTTTTTTTTTTTATTGTACAACGTACGAAAACTTCCGACTTTATCCGCTTTGTACAAAATTTCGAAGAAGGGAAGATAAGGATGGGGCGGCTTTTTTTTTTTCTTTCTATTCCTTTCTCTTTTTTTCTCCCCCACAAACGTTTTAGATACACGCAAGGAAAAAGTAAAACAAACAATCTCGTCGAAGGGAGAGAACGAAAGAAATCTTCTTTCGGAAAAGTTTTTCTCAAAATAGTTTTGCCCGCCTATCATCCCTCTTCCAACCCCCCAAACCCAGCAACCTCCCAGAACAAAACTTACGATTCTGTTTGTTATTAAATTTATCTCTAAGAGGAGAAAGAAAAAAAAGATTCTTTCAAAAATATATATTTAAATTTCATAATAGTAAAAAAAAAAAAATTATCTCAATATATTGTGAAAATTACACTTGATATATTAAAATATGAATATACAATATTTTATTAATATTAAAAGAAAAATGTGTGAGAAAAATTGAAATACTTTGAAATGGTATACCGTGAAAAAGTATATATATATATATATATATATATAAAAATAAGAAGAGAAAAAAGTTGAAAAAGAAATAGAATAGGAATGAATTTTTATACTTTTCTTTGGAAAGAAAAAGTATGTAGATCGATTCGTCATAAAAGCTTCGTTGACACTTGGTACGAAGAAAAGATTTGAAAGAAGAAGGTAGATGAGGGAAGGAAGAAAAAGGCGGAGAATATAAGAGAAAAGAACAAAAAAAATTGTAAAAGGAAAAGAGGAGAGAAGAAAGAAGAAAAGAAGGAAGGAAGGAAGGAAGGAAGGAAGGAAGGAAGGAAGGAAAAAGGAAAACGTTAGATCGGGAGGAGGACTATTGGCAACGCGGCCGTCATCGTGAAAATAATATCCGAAGAATTTCCATTACACCGAGAGTGCCACCCACTCCCAACGACTCCTCTTTCTCTCATATAGACAACCTACAACGAAATAGAAAAAGAAAAGGATAAGAAAAAAATAAAAAGAAAAAAAAAAGAAATAAAAAGGAAAAGAAAAGAAAGGGAAGAATAAAAAAATTGAATCGTTCTTATCGACTGAGAAGAATTAGAAGAAGAAGAAGAAGAAGAAGGAGGAGGTGGAGGAGGAGGAGGAGTCACCGATACGATCCCCTATAACCTTTTTTTCTTTTCAAGTTTAAACCCCCCGTTTTATTTTATTATTTCTTTTCTTTTCTTTTTTTGTGTTTTTTCTTTTCCATTTTTCATTCAAACACGTCTTCGTGCATTTTTTAATAATTCTTCAACGTAACACAAATAAAATCGAAAAACAAAATGATAATTAAAATAATGCAAAGAACAAGACAAGCTATGAGAATTCTTAATAAATTTGTTTTATTATTTAAAAACAAAGAAAAGGAACGAATATAATGTTGAAAGATTTAAACAAAAAAATCATGTATACATTTTTAATCCACCAGAAGTCTGTATTAAATCATAGTGGACTTATTTAAAGTTCAAAATTTGTTCGTTTTAATTCATTTTTTCTTTTTTATCATTTATTCATTCATTCATTCATTCATTCAATATAATTGAATAAAATATATGTTACACATGAAACGAGTATTGTACAGGATCGGTTAGAAGCTTTACAAAATGATTTATTTACGATCTGAAAATAATATAAAGTATCGATTTAACGATAAATTACGAAAGAAAGTGATAATAGATTTGATTTGAAAAAAAATCATCCGAAAAGTTTCAACAACGTACGTTTTAATCTTAAAAGGTATGTAAATTCGCTTATTGCCAATTTTTCTGATAGCACTAGACGAAATGTCTGACAACTAGGATATACGAGTTAAAAATTCTAACTACGTTCTATCGCAAATTTTATAAAGCTACCACGCTACCAGAAATTGTAAAAAGCTACGTGAGATGGCTCGTAAACTATCGTTTCAAAGAACGTTACTTAACTGACTATTTTCTTTTTTTTTTTTTTTTCTACTCTTATCCCACGTGAGTTTATGATGGACATATAGATTTCACCGATGGTATCCAATGGTATCCAATGGTTTTCTTTCTATTTCTCACTCCGTTTATATTTTGCTTTTTTACTTATCTTATTAATCTATCTTACTCTTAAAAATAATATTTGAACGTTTCATTTATTCTTTTGAGAGAGAGAGAGAAAGAGAGAGAGAGAGAGAGAGAGAGCTATGGTAAAAAGGATTTAGATTTAAAAAAAAAAAAAATGCATCGCGAATAAAATACATTATATTTTTTTCCATATTACGAGTACCATTAATAATCCCACGTAAAACACTAGGGTTGACATGAAAAATTGTTTATTTCTGTGTGGAAAAAAAACGAAACGTCGAATTTTCGTTGCAAATAAAAGTCAATTCGCTTTCGAGAGAAAAAAGAATATTATTTATGCGTTTCGATATATATATAAAATTCGATTTGAATTGTTTTTAATTAAATTCACGTAAGTATATGGATTTATTTGTTATACGCGTATAAATATAATTTTTCTCTCTTGCATTATAGTTTATGGTTAAAAATAAAAAATTCGTCTAACATGTAAACGCGAGTAAGTTGATATAATTATTACGTTGATAATTATTTTTACCGAATACATTTATCTCCGAATAGTAACATTCGCCTGACACATATATGCGTTCGTTCGTACTGTTCAAAGAAAAAAAATTACATATACAGAAAAAAAAGAAAAACGAACCAAAAAATGGCAAAAGAATTTATTAAACCGTAATTGGCAGATTTGCGTGTCACTTTTAATTACGACTATGAACATTTCAATAAGGTCTTCTCACATTTAGTAATGACCTTTAATTAATAAATCCAGCAAAAATATTTACACGAATGTATGAAATGTAAAAGAAGTTGACTTATGTTCAAATAAATGCGACGTTTTAAATTTTTTGCTTTTTTTATTATATTATGATTAAAATAAAATTCGTATTCCCTTTTATCGTGATATTTGGTTGTTGATGTATTTTATCGTTTGACAAAAAGAAAAAAGAACAAAAGGAAAAGAGAAAGAAAAGAAAGAAAGAAAGAAAAGAAAGAAAGAAAGAAAGAAAAAAGGAGAAAAAAACACACGGTACTGTTTCAGGAATGTCAACCAGAATTTTTGCACGACCTCGTGTTAAAAATGAAAGCCTACATCTTCACACCCGGTGATTCTATATGCCGTAAGGGTGAAGTAGCAAGAGAAATGTTCATAATAGCTGACGGTATACTCGAGGTAATCAGCGAAACTGGAAGAGTTCTTACTACGATGAAAGCTGGTGACTTTTTTGGTGAAATAGGCATACTCAATCTCGACGGATTAAATAAGTGAGTTATAAATAATAAATAAACGTTAATGTTTTTTTTTGTCAAATAACAATTATATCTACGATTGGAATATCAAAATTTTAATGAAATATTTTGTCGATCAATTTATATCCTATTTCGCGAGCAATATTTTTTTTTTCATTTTATCTGAAATGATTATAAAATTTGACTGTTACACACATACACGTGTTTTTGTTTTCTTTTTTAAATGTAAATTAAATACGGGAATATTAAATTACAGGCGAACAGCTGACGTCCGTTCGGTTGGTTATTCGGAATTATTCAGTTTATCGCGCGAGGATGTATTAGCAGCAATGAAAGATTATCCAGAAGCACAAGAAATTTTACAAAATCTCGGTAGGAAACGTTTGATGGAAGCACAAAGGGTTGCTCGAGCATCGAGACAACCAACCTCACCCGGCCACGATTCGTCTGACAATAGTACCGGTAAAAGAATTGTCGACAAGTTAAAGAGCGACGTCAAAGTTTGGAAAAACGTTTTAAGAAAAAGTAGACGTAATACTAGACCGGATGAGAGTCTAGAATTGCAACCATTGACATCTAAAACACCGTATTGTTCAATGAAAAGACAACGACATAAGACGACGGAAGACGTGCAAGAACCAATGATAACAAATACTATGCAAGAACCACCTGTATCACCACTGGGTGCTGGATTACCTCTTTTATCAAGACTGAAATTACTCAAAGAGAAAGAAGAACGGGAGGAGAGACGTAATCTAATGGAGACACAAGTGCACGCGTCTGAACAACAACCACCGCCAACTGAAGCACTTGTCCCGACAAATCCTAATTTGTCGTTCACGCAAAGGGTACTCCTGTTAAAAGTTAGAAACGAACAAGAGGCACAAGCTCAAGCGGAAAAGGAATCCACGATTAAGGAACAACCATTATTAATATCGAAGAATTCGATTGTTACGGAAAATATTTCGGATGACGTTACGAAAGAAACCCAACAACAGCAACAACAACAACAACAACAACAGCAACAGCAAAAGATCGTCGAGAAAATTTCTATACCAAAAGTATCATCCTTATTGGATAAACGACAACCAACCCAATCTTCTAATAACGTTATGGTTATGCCCAAAATTCCAACAGCCGTTACATCGATAGACAATTTATCAACAACTAATAATATTGTTATGTCAAATGGTACTACCAACGTTAAAAAACCTTGGGCAATGCTAAAAGATGCTTCCTTGACTACTACTACTACAACAACCGCAACTTCTTTGATGTCGTCTTCTACGTTAAAGGATAATTCCCCACAAAGAAGTTCACCAATTAAGAAACCGCGAACCAAACAACAACATAGTCTTGCACATCTAAGACAACAAACTAAGATGTACGCTTCCGTTGACGATCTGTCTCCTGAATATTGTGGCCTACCGTTCGTTAAAAAGCTCAAAATATTAAACGAAAGGCAAAAACTTGCCGAACTCGAAAAGGCAGTGAGAAGTTCTAGCTTGGATTGCGGCGAAAATTCCGATTACACTACTTTCGATGGAAATTTAACACGCAGCCATTCCGAAGCCTGTGCTATCGAATACGTGAGAAAACTGGCAAAACTCAATCAAGTAAGGGTACGTAATATTTGAATGAATTTTATGATACGGATCAAATATTTGTTGTCAGAAAAATATTTAACGCTAGAACTATCGATTCAATTTTTCTTAACCCTTTGAGTGTTCAATACTTTTAACTGAAATGTTTTTCTAAAGGTGGAATATTTTATTATTAATACAACTTTTTCCATTGATTAATATCATTAACAACAAATTATATTTAATAATTAAAGTTTTTATTTTACTTATACATAATTTGAATAATCAATTATGAAATAATGAAATTATGAATAATTTGAATATCAATTAATTAAAAATAAGAAAAAAGCAATTGTTAAGAATGTCAATAATTCCAAAATGAAGAAATGAATAATTCGTTATTTGAACTACTTTAAAAGTTCTAGCGTTGAATAAGAAGACAATATTCTTGTCTAAAGTTTCATAAACGAAGTGAGATATTTAAAAAATGAAAACAGGGTCAAAAGAGTCCATCAACGCCGGCGGAACAATTGTCCCCAGAAAACGAGACACTAGAGAGGCGAGATTTAAAGAGCATCTTAAAGAAACTCTCAGCGAGTAGTAGAACGGGTAGTTCGGATACTTCAGCAACGAGTATACCAGATCGCGAAGCTGCTACTGCTGAATTAAGACGATTAATGAGAGCACAAACTATCGAGGGTTATGCCGCTAGACATACGAAATTATCTAAAAGTGTAACCTTTAATAAATATACTTTACAAAGTCCGCCGTCCGAGCAAAGCCCCCCAGGAAGTTATCCTCTCGGGGATCAGTTGTCCGAAACTCAGGAACAGGCCTCGCTGTCACCGCCCAATAAAATAACTTTCCGTCCTCTTGGCAGTAGGGATCTTCTGCAAATGGCAACTAGAAAACGGGAGGATGAATATCTTGGAGAATTCGTGTCTGGTATTAGAGAAGTTATACAAACACGTTTGGTAAGTGTATCATATGTTATACGTTTTGTTTTCTTCTCTCGAAATAAATTGTAACGAATTAAATTAAAAATAAAAAAAAAAAAAAACAAATTGTTTAATATTTTTAGGAAGACATACAAAGTAAATTCGTCTCCCTGGAATTAGAGATTCACAAGAGGGACGAAATAATATCCCAACTTCAAGGTAGGATACAAGAATTGGAAGAAAATGAAAGAAGAAAAAATGACGAGGCAATGGGTATGGGTATTGGTGATGACAGTACGGCTCACGATACCTCATTCGAGGAAGATTTGGATGACGATAATGAGAATAAAGATGAGGACGATGACGATGACAACAATGATGACGATAACGATGAAGAAGACGACGACGACGATGACGAGGACGAAGACGACGATGATGACGACGATGACGGAGAGGATCATCCATTTATGAGAGATGGTTCGGTGGATACAGTTTTAACGACTCGTTCTCGAGCTTATGGACGACCTTCGCCGAACGGTGAATCCATGCACAATAGAAAATCTTGGGAAGAACATTCCGAGGAAGAAACTTTAGAATTACAGGAATTACCGAGATCTATAGTTCCCCAAAGTTTGTGGAGAGACGATGTAGTTATAGATTTGGAATCCAATAGCGAAAGTAGCAAATCAGAAAATGACGAAGGTGGTGATGGTGATGGTGGTGCACGTGGTGGTGATGGTGGTAATGGTGTTGCTCGAGCTGCTGCTAGCGATACCGACGATGATGATACCAAAAGTGAATGTGCCAACGATTGGGAAGCTACGATGCTTGCCAAAGAGCTCGAGGCAAGACAGAGAAGTAGCGAAAATGCTAGCCCTGGTTCCTAGCGCATTAACGAGCTCCTAGAAGTATTCTGTTATTTAACGAATACTATGCGCACCCAAAATTGGAGAAGTGCAACAGCGGCCGGTAGTGCAGCTTTTTGTGAAAACGATTGCCCTTACTTGCAGTTAGACTTTGATAGTTTGACTAGTCGTAGCGAGACTATGATGTAGTTCTCCTTGATTCGAGTTCAAGGTTAAGAATTAACGTGTATCTGTGAGGAGAGGAAGAAAAAAGAATTGAAGAAAGAGAGAGAGGAGAGAGAGAGAGAGAGAGAGAGGGAAGGGTTGGGGGGAGAATTGCAGGATAGTCGCTCGTTTTCTACAGAAAGGATTCTAATTTCAAATGCGAATCCAAAAGTACGTACAACTTTCGTGAACACACAATGCCTCTTTATTTTCTATCCTTGAATTATGAATTTCAATCTTTTTTTACTTGTACGCGTGGTTTTTCTTCTTTCAGGCTTCTTTTCCTTTTCTTTTCTTTTTTTCTTTTTTCTTTTTTTTTTTTACAAATAATCATAACACGTCTCTTCTTCTTCTTCTTATTCTTCTTCTTCTTCTTCTTCTTTCTAATTTCATTGGAAATTCATTTAAAAATCCTTCTCTTGCAAATTCAAATTGTCACTTTCGAAGAAATTACACGTAACGATTGTCGAATATCAATAATAATTATATTATTCTCGGCCAAGTGGTTGTTAGTCATTACGATAAATCTTTAAGATACTCGTCGGTCTCATATTAATTAATAATTCATCATAAAAATAATAATTCACGTTGTTGTTAATTTTATTTGAAAGAAAAAAGAAAAACAAAAAAAATACTCGATAAAGTTTTATATATATATATATATATATATATATTTATGGAACGAAATATTCTATGAGAGCTATCGGAAATTTACAATTATAATGCGTTCAAATATTTTTCTAGTATCTTTATTTTAATCGTACTATAGTCGCAATTCTGTTCATCGATTTATGGTAAAGAAAAAATAATAAAAAATTAAATAGCGTTGTGAATACTTTCATCAATTTTTACGTTTATATGTGATGCCAAAATGATTTGTTTAGATTTTTCGTTCTAGTTCACGATGAAACATTTTAAAAGCTGCACCAAAAATGAATAGACGTATTCGATAATTACGACGCAAAAAAATTTGAAATAATTTAAAAGAAACAAAAAGAATAAACAAAAAAAAGTACACGTTTATGTGTAATACATAATATCTACTCATTGTACACGATTCACAAGCAAAATGACAAATACATTAAGTATATCAACCAGACCAAGCTCAATATTTCTAGATTCTTTACAAAATACATCTCTATTAAGTGACAAAGGACTATTAAGTAAGAGAAAGAAATTATTAAGATATTGTAAATATTAGCCTATAATTTATTTATCTATGAATGAGAGAGAAGAAGAGCGAATGTACGAGTAGGATAGAATAAATAAATAAATAAATAAATAAAAAAGAAAATAAAAAAATAAAACACGAATAATAAGAATATAAAAAGAAAAAAAATTCACAGAAATAGAAGAGAGAAAAATACAAAGGATAAGAGCAACTCTGTGCGAGAAATTCAGTGGATTGTGAATGAGCATTTTAGATGCTAAAATGTACCTACTACGAGGACAAAAGGAATATACAATAAAGCAAACAACGTTTTCAAAGTCTTGCCAATTTTTACATTACCTATAAATATATATAAAAATAATTATATTTAAAATTGATAATTAAAATAATAAATAAAACTTTAATAACTATGAGAGATAAAATTAATAATTAGACAATATGTTTGTAGATATGTGCATAGATAAAAAAAAAAGTTTTCTAGTTGCTTGTTTAGTCGTAAGAAAAAAAATTGAAATTTGCCTCCATTGATGCATCACGTGACGGCTAAATTTTAACAAACTCCGCCAGAGTGCACCGCTTGTATATCCAACCGAAGTGACGTTTCGTTTGACACGTCGTCACACGCGCCACACTTAAAACGTTACTGCGCATGCGCCGAGTTAGGCTTTTAACAGAAGGCTACTTCGTTTTCTTACGAACAGCTTTCGTGTGTCAATTCAGTTGTTTTCTATTAAAAAATCATTCATAATGTCTGGAAAATCAAAAGCATTTACCAAAGAGGAAGAACTATTACTTCAGGATTTTTCTCGAAACGTTTCTACTAAATCTTCGGCATTATTTTATGGCAATGCACTTATAGTATCTGCGATACCAATTTGTAAGTACAATCATTTTCTACAATATTTATTATTTTTAAATGTCATCTTTCAACGGATTGAAACTTTACTTTTTATTTTAAGTTGATCTTATTTCATGGTTTTACGTTTTATCGATGGTATTTATTATGGTTGAAACGTTTTGGAAATTAACCTCCAATTTGAATTTGTTTGTTAATCATTTGATTTAATCGATTATTTATTTATTACAGGGCTATTCTGGAGGATTCATATGATTGATCTATATGCCAATTTGGCTTCTTTCGTATTTGTTACTTTAATAAGCACTTACACTCTTGCACTTGCTTATAAGAATACCAAATTCATCCTGAAACACAAAGTATGTTAAAATTGCATATTATATTATATGTTTTAATTAATTTTAAATTCCTTTGTACTAAAATAATATTTTACGTAAAAGATTGCAGTAAAAAGAGAAGATGCAGTTACCAAGGAAATGAATCGCAAGCTTGCAGAAGATAAGAAAATGAGTAAAAAGGAAAAAGATGAAAGGTATTAAATTGATTTATAATACTAATACCAAATATTATTATTCCTAATAAAATGAATACATTATTATTTATTGTTTTTTTTCTTTTTAGAATTTTGTGGAAGAAAAATGAAGTCGCTGATTACGAAGCAACAACCTTTTCTATTTTCTACAACAACGCTTTATTCCTCGCCTTTGTCATAGTGTCTTCATTTTACGTCTTAAGAGCATTTTCTCCAGCAGTAAATTATATACTTTCCGTTGGTGCAACTAGTGCATTGTTAGCATTGTTATCTACAGGTTCTCAATAATAATAATAATAATAATTCAATAATTCCACCACGTTCATTTGTTTTGTAAAAAAAATGTCACCCATTTTATAAAATATTTGTTATATAAAAAAACTATTGTACATAGGTAATAAACGTGTTATTATCTATAATTAAATCATAGAAATGAATGAATTAAAATTAGGATTAAATTGGCATACGTTGACGAATTAGATTGAAATAATATATGGAAATATTTCATAATCGTGATAAAATGCTCTCGTATATATAAATATATGTGAGAGATTTTATCTTGCCTGAAAATTATTAGAACTTTAACAACTTACGTATTCGTACGGAACGATTATCCATAGTCGTTGAAATAATTCAAAATGACGAAGCAGCAAGCAAGCCTTCTTCGTGCTGTGCTTAGCACAAAACGTAACGTAGTTTACGAGTCGTAGAAAAACGAGAAGATATCGTACCCAATTTATATGTATACATACACATGGACCAACGTAGACCTGTCTGAAGTTTTATACGTCTCCCGTTTAAAATGGGCAAATGGCCAATAAGTTATCCACCAACGAACTAAAGTCTGGACACGTATGCTTTCGTTTAAATCGTAAGCCCAATGTTTACCCGTTTGTGATAAAAATACTAAAAATGTTTGACGCGCAACAGTACTCTACTTCTTCTACGAGAAAACAAAAAGAAAAAACAAAATAAAAATTTTTCTGTAGCAACGTGTTTCGTCGGTTTAGTAATTGGCCTAGATTGTTTCTAAAAAAAAGAAAAAGAAAAATAAAGAGAGAATATAATAATGTTTCATTTAAATTAGTATCGTTCGAGATAATTTTTATAACGCCTAAACTGTAAAAATACAATACTACTAAACATTTATTTATAACAATTGGCTTCGATTATGTCTTGAAAAATGGAAATATGATATTTCATTTAAATTAGTATTTTTTTTTTTTTTTTCTAATAAAAATACTAAAAATTTATTTTAAACGCGCGACACAAAATACGCGTCTGAAACACTTTTTTTTTACTCTCGTTTAAAAATTAATTTTAATTATATCTATAAAAGAGAAAGGGGAGAGAATATAATAATAATATTAATTTAAATGAGTAATCTAAGAGTAAGAAGTGTCCATCATTAGTGTAAATTAAAGATTATAAATCAAGAAATTCCTCGTTTTTCGAGTAAAGTATTCGCATTGCTTACGAATCTGACAGGAATAAATCTCAGTTAGTTGGCTTGACTATATTACCATGTCAAGTCTTCTCACGCAATCTTGGGAAATCCATTTGCATAAACTTTCCAAAGACTATAGCTTATTATAAGATGGATGGACGATAAAATGGTAACTTAAAACACTTGGCCAGGTATCAGTTTCAAAGTAGGCACGTGACGTATCAAGGATATTTTTCAATATCAAATTTTCATACTCCCATTGTAGTCGATTTCATTTCATAATTATAACATTAAACGAATCTTTTCACCATACTTATGAATCATTTTTTTAGGATACCCGTAAGACTCCTCGCAATATCATTAATAAGTATACACCTTGGATATTATCCAAATACATTGATTCAACTTAGTTAAATGCAGGATTTACGAGTGAACAACTTGTTTGCTTTGTTGTTTATCACACATTAATAAATCAATGGACCATTTCGAATCAACAACGGTGTACGTAAACATCTCAAGAATTTACTTGCCCACGTTTCGTATACTTAAGTAACGGTCAAAACTTACATGCTATTAGATTTAGTCAATGAGAAAATAGAAATTCAACTGAATTAGATGAAAATTATTTAAAAATAGAGTTCGTGTACTATTAACGATTTAAACATCAACAATGCCATAGATAAAATCCACAATGCAATATCTTATTCTAACACTAGTAAACATTTTAATCAATCTATTTCTTCGCATCATTACAATGTCGGCATTGTGAAAATGATTCGGAAAAAGACTGACGACTACCTGGCAAGGAACCCTAAAGAAAATCCTGGCAAAACAAGTTAAACAGGAAAATAATAGCTATATTTGAAAACATCACGGCGCCTGGTGTTGTGTGATTTGTTCTACGTTCAGGCATAATGCGTACTTGAGCAATGTCGAAAAACAACGGTCGTCTTATCTATTTTTATAAACATTTCTTACTCGAATTAAACCGATGCAACATAAGATCACATTTTCGAATTGCAACACATCGAGTTATAAAAAAATAAATAAAAAGGAAAAGAATCATTCTCCAATAAAGATAATCGCGCGTATCGTCGTAAAAGAAAAATGTTTGTCTTCTTTCCAAGCAACAAACTCTCGAATTCGAGTGCATCATCAGGCACCATACACAATTTCTACATTTTACTGTCGCTTACACTCTGAATTAGAGAAATTCTGATTATCTATTTTCGTAACGACGAATATTCATCTGATTTCCGATAAAACAAAAAAAAAAAAAGACCAATTTACTTCTTCGAAAGATCACGGTCACGTATAAAACATAAAATAACTAACGGAGAGAAATCAAAAATTCCGATCATAACCGTTCCATTCATTTATTCGTACTACCGTTCATTGATTCGTTTAAAAAAAAAAAAAAAAGGATTCAAATGCAATTCGACTTTTTCGAAATATAAAAAGAAAAAAAAAAGAAAGAACGATAAAACCGAGTCGACGAAAGCAACTAAAAAAAAGAAACACACACACACACACACAAGAAGAAGAAGACGAAAAAACAACAATTTTTCCTCGAACGAGGATTAAAAAAGAAAGAAATAAGAATAAAAAAAAATATATATAAAAATAAGAAAAAAATAATAATAAAAATAAGAGAAAGAGAAAGAAAGAAAGAAAGAGAGAGAGAGAGAGAGAGAGTATGAGAGGGGAATGGGTGGGGGGAGAGAGTCCTGGAAACGAGGAGGAAAATGCCAAGTGGTCGTATCAGATCCCCGAAATAGCGCAAGCGCCCTTCCGAAAGCTCCTAAGGCCCCCCTACAAAAGATAAAAGCTTTTGATTGGTTGGAAGTTGCGGGGCGCGGTCCGGAACCGGTACGCAACCGCTATATCGGATCATTCGAATATTACCGCGGCAGTTCTCGCTTCTCTTGACAGTGTTCGTTAAACTTTAAGCTCGTCCGTTAGGCTCGAGTCGCAAAAATATAAAAAAATATATATATATAATAATAAAAAATAATAACTTATCAAACACAGACCGAAATAATAATAATAATAATAATAATAAAATAAAAAGTAGATAAATAATAATCGTACATCGACTTTTTTTGGGATTACACAGTTTTATTCTTTTTCTTTTTTTTTTTTTGTATTTTCATTTTATCTCTCTCTCTCTTTTTTTTTTAATTAATTATTATTACATCCATATTGTGGTTCCATCGTAAATTATTTGACATTGTCTTCTAATCTATCCGATCGTTTCTATCGTTAACGAGATTTTCTCTCGTTGTTCGTAACACGAAACATTAAAAGTAACAGAAAAAGATAAGAAATAAGAATCACACTTTCTTACTGATTATTTTAATATCGATTTTTTTTTAAATCGTATATTAACAATAATAATAATAATAATCATTCTTCAAACGTTCCATATACTATAATCGAGTGACCGTAAATCCAAGCGTTCGATCAATATCACTGGTTGTGTCGATCATTATATTATAATAATATCGAGCCTGATATATACGTACAAACGTATATATAATATATAAAACACTGCATATATATATATAAGATATATATATATAAAAAATAAAAAGAACGAAAAAATCCGCGTCGCCATCATGGTATGTTCAATCGATGATATCGTAAGTCGTCGCCCTGGTAACATACACGTTTTCCTATTGTCTCTATTCTCTAGCTTTTATTTATTATATTTTTTAATTGTACTACCTCTCTCTCTCTCTCTCTCTCTCTCTCTCTATCTTACTCTCTTTCTTTCTCTCACTTTATTTAACTCTTTATTTCTCTTTTACTTTTTGTATTTTACTCTCTTCATTCGTTTTATTCGTATGTATAATTTTGTTCTATTTTTACACGCAAGAAACAGAAAAAAAAAAAAAAAGGAAAAATAAAAACACTTTTTCGTATAACACATTATATTTCTAATTTCTTCTTTTCATTATACTATTTTGGCATGTTTGTTCGAACAATTTGTAATTACGTGTTTTATCTATTCTATTGGTTTCGTGTAAGTGTTATTTACTTTTTAATATTTATTTCTTTAATATCTTCCTTATCTCAAAACTTTATCTATCTATCTATCTTTCTTTCTAGTGCACGAAATTTTGTAACAAAGAATGAAAAATAAAAAATAATAATTATTATTATCTCTACACCCGCGAGAGAAATATAGTGAAAAATGTGTGTCGCGAAAAAGAAAAAGAAAATAAAGAAGATATATTTCGTTAAAGAATAGAAAAAAAAACGCGGGAATTTGTTCGGAAGTAAGAAAAAAAACAAAAAAAAAAAAAAAGAAAGAAATATGATGAAGCATGTTCGGGAGGTGCGAGGTCTTGGAAACGTGATTGTTTCTTAGGCGAATTTTTTTCGAAGACGTTTCTCCGATCACGATTGTGCCGAATAACAAATTTGGGATTTTCTATAAATATATTTGCCCTATATAAATAAATATATAAAAAATAGATAAAAAAAAAGAAAAATAAATGATCGAAGGAAAAACAATAAATCGTAGGAACGGGGAAACGACATCGAATAATCGATTATTTTCGTCAATTTTAAATCGATTAATCGTCCGAATAATCCCACGACGCAACAAATTCTTCATTATTCGACTCTCTCGAAAGTGTTATTAATTAAATTTAATCCGTTATCGTGATTTGTGAATAGAAAAAACAAAAAAAAAAAACAAAAAATAACAACTCGGAGACAAAATTTTGATAATTTAAAAAAGAAGTTTACGAGTGTCGTTATAAAAATTTTACACGAATTTTTGGCAAAAAAAAAAAAAACAAAAAAGAAAGAAAAATTATACCGTAATTTGTAACAATGCACGTAACGAACATAACAAATTATTGTATTGAACGTAATAAAAAATTGTGATTTGTTGCACAATATTAATATTAATAATAATAATAATAATAATAATAATAGTAATAGTAATAGTAAAAATAAAAAAGAATTAAAGTAAATTCAATATCGTCGTAGTAATTTAATTAGAAAACATCGTTGTTGGCAGCTCGCATAATTTTTGTTGCATTTCGTGGCGAGACGACGACGATGATCAATAAATCGATTACATTTCTGATCGTTCGATATGGTTTTTTTTCTTCTTATTTTACAGGCCGACGAGTTGCCAGCAGAACAAATTGCTGGTAAGTCAATCAATTTTTTATTTCTAATAAATATCTTTTACGTTTTTTGAGATAAAAGATGAGAAAAGATCTTTCGTTATAGTTCGTTAAATAATAGCATGAGATACGTTTTACGGATCGAGTCTCGGATGACAAAGTTCCGGAAAATGTATCATCTTATTTTCAGTATGGCCTGACTAAATTTAGAGTTCCTTCTCTTTTCTCTCTTACCTCTCCCCCTTTCGTGTCTCGTATTCACCCTTTTCTCTTTCACGCTTGCTTGTGTTCAACCTAACTCTAACTAACTGTAAATACTTTTTCATTGTGTTACGTTTGCCGCGATGTAAATTAATGTAAAACATTGATCCGTAATTGAATTTTTATCTTTACATTTTACATATTAATCGTAACGCAAAACAAATGAATTGGATATTTGAGGAAAAAAAACTTCGAATTAACGTGAATATAGTTGAAACGTTAAAAATAAACGAAATCCAGATCCCTATAGTTATACCGTAAATCATTTATATTAATTTTATTGAGAAAAAAAAGAAGAAAAAAAAATTAACTATGCATTTATTTTAATACAGTATTAACACAATATCCAAAACACACATTCCAGAGTGTTCCGTCATCGTTTTATATTTTAATTGTCGCGTTCTTATATATTCGAATATGAAAAAAAAAAAAAAGTATTAAAAATGACCACGCAAATAACAGGGATAAACTTTCGTAAGATAAAATCTTGAGTAACGTAATACGTTTCATATCTTTGTCTCGTAAAGTTAAAAACGTTTTTGTGTTGAACGTACGGTCCCACCCTACCCCACCCTATCCCATCCTACCCCGATTTCGTTCGTCTTACATTAGCAGCATCATTTCAAAGGCTAAAAATGAACGCACGTGACTCTTAAGAAGTTGGTAAAGCCGGGCAGTAACGTTTAAGAAACTAGAGGATTTCTAAATCGGACTTGTAAAATCCCTTCTTCCGTCCTTCCTTCCTTCCTTCCTTCCCATCGTTCGAAGTTCATCCTGTTAACGCTGCTAAAACGTGCCTCGACAAAGGTACTCGGAGTTTATTTGAGATTCGATTCGATTGGGAGCAGCTGCTGGGTGTACCTAAGTTTAGCTTGCATGGTGCTCTTCTCTCTCTCTCACACACACACTCTCTTTCTCTTTTTCTCTCTCATTCGTTTGAAAGATATCGCATGACGATCGATCAGAGTCCCCTCCGTCGTCGTCATCGTCGTCGTCGTTGCTCGTGTTCGAATCCGATCGTATTGATAAAAATAAACTCCACACAACAATATTCTTTTTTCCAACCTCCTCCTCTTTTATCGTGTGAAATAAAAATAAAAAAAGAAGGAAAACTTCTTTTTTTGTTGGAAACTAAAAAAACAAATAAAAAAATATACAGAATGTAATAATTTTTGATTCTGCAAGCAAATGATTCTCTCATCCATCTATCGAAGAATAGTTCTCTGCAATATATTCCAATTCAAATTGTTTCTTTCTGTTAAACATCACCATCAATCCCTCCACATTCGATTTTTATTTCTCTTTTATTTTTGTTCTTTCTTATTGGTATGATATCTTTGAGAATAAAGAAAATTTGGACGAAAGAGAGCAAACGGTACTACTTATGAAAGCTCCGTAATTCTGTAATCATTTTGTTTTTAGAAATAAGGACACAGTAGTTACACATTCGTTTGTTTACGAACGATATAAATTAAATAACGCGTTACGTAGTCGTTCCCTGTTGCTATAGAATTGCGTTCGTCGTTTGAATTCGAAATTTTCTACACTTGTCGTCGCCAAAATCGTAAACAACAACTGTAAATCCAAGTTAAACGAGATATATATATATATGTAAAATATTTCTTCGTAAAATATTAGATACAGATTTTTGTTCTCGTTTTTAATATCGATTATTATTTTATCGATTCGTAAAATGGGACCGCCGCGTATAATTTTGGTTGTGCAAATCTAAAAATAAAAAAAGAAATCGTTGATTTAAGTTGGTAAAAAAAAAAAAAGAAGAAAAAGAAAGAAAGAAAGAAAAAGGGCTAAAGTTCTTATTTTCTCTCTTTCTTTCTCAATCTTCTCTCTCTTACTTGAGACAGTAGTAAATAAACGATGTAAACGACTATGAGCGATGATATAGAAAGCCAAATAAGCTCCGAGCCAAAATCGCGAGGGTAAGGAAGGGCATTAACATCGGATCTAAATTTGAATCGCAAGAAACGATGGCGCACTGCGTCAACATTTAGATGTTGCGAGCTTTTAACCCGAAGACGAAAAACGAAAAATGAAAAACGAAAATGAAAGAGAAAGAGAGGTGGGGGAGGGAAAGAGGGTGGAAATAAAATACATTTCTAACAAATTCAATTTTTAAACGAAAATTTGTTTAAATCTAAATCGTGTTTCATTATTTGTTTTTAAAATAGTCCTTCGCAAAGCTTTCGACAGCTTCGATAGAGAAAAAAGTGGCAGCATTCCCACCGACATGGTGGCTGATATACTTCGACTTATGGGACAACCTTTCAACAAGAAAATTCTCGATGAACTTATAGATGAAGTTGATGCTGACAGTGAGTAATATATTGACGATAATTAATTTATATATATGTATATATATTTTTTTTTTTTAATTGAATCTTATTTCATTGGCCAATAAGTATATGATATCGAAATTTGGATTAATTTATATTTATATTAATAATACAATTTTTTCTTTTTTTTATCTAAAAATAATTGTGTATTTTTTGTATTATACAATTTTCTTTTTTATTCTATATATCCTATTATACTTATTAATGCAACACCAATGCACATACACACGCGCATAAGAGGGAATAATTTAATTCAAATTTTAACAATGATCCTTCCTAAAGGATTGTTTTTATATGTAATTGAGAAAAAAATAAAAGATAAAATAAAGTAATAGAAAATAAGTAGTCCGATCTATTGATTTTTTCTTTTTTTCTGTTTATTTTTTTTTTAGAATCAGGACGTTTGGAATTCGAAGAGTTCGTCACCTTGGCCGCGAAATTCATCGTTGAGGAAGATGCAGAAGCACTCGAGAAAGAACTTCGAGAAGCTTTTAGGCTTTACGACAAGGAAGGTAAGAACAAACAAACAAAAATCCCTTTTTTCCTTTTTATTCATTTTTTTTAATACCAATATTTGTTCATCATGAATTAGCGATGACGAGACGATCATATCAGAATGATTTACGTTCCATATCGTAAAAAGATCTATGACGTCGTAATACCTCGGATGATCCCGATGGTTTTCGTTTTTCCTTGGAGATCGGCCAAGTCATAAGAAGTAAAATGAGATAAGAGGAGGTTTCAGGGGTTGAGGGGAGTGGCTAGGGGGGAGGATGGCTAAGGGGTGATAGAAGAAGAAGAACATAGAGTTAGATAAATAGATAGAGAGATGTTAGAAAGATAGAAAAGAAGAAATTCGCGGGAATTTAACTAGAAACGAAATGGAACACACGTTACAGGAATAGCTAACTGCAATATTAGAAAATCTACAATAACGCCGCGTTGAGATCGTTTTATAGTTGGCTTTTTAAAGAAAATATCACCGATCGAGAATTCGGGGATGAAAATATTCATTAAAAAATTATAACTTAAAATAATTTTTTTAATATAATATATATATTTACTGAATGAATGAGTGATTTTTATATTTTTTGGTAACAGGTAACGGATACATCCCAACAACTTGCTTGCGTGAAATCTTAAGAGAACTTGATGATCAATTAACGGACGAGGAATTGGATATTATGATCGAAGAAATTGATTCTGATGGTTCCGGAACCGTAGATTTCGATGGTACGTATATGATCATGATATATTATATATATTGTTTAATTAACGAGGAGCTTAGTTTACTATAATATACATTTGGCATGTATCGATTATAAGAAAAATCGGTACTCATAAATAACTATTTCAATTTCAGTATCAAAGACTTGGCATTTATGTTCTTTTTTTTATATTTTCTGATACGCAGTAGCAGCTGCATAAAGTTGTTTACTATCTTGCTAAAAAGTTTTCACAATATAACAAACACATATATACTGTTGTTTATAAATAAACATTATTATCCTTAACAAATGTTACTTTTGTTTCAGAATTTATGGAAATGATGACAGGAGAATAATCACAACCAAAGTGTCCGGTAGCGTTAACTGCCGTGAATTTTTTGTTTTCTTTTTCTTTACAAAAAAAAAAATTAAAAAAAATATAATTAAATGAAAAATAAATTAAAAAAAAAAAAAAATAAAAAGAAATAACGTCACGCGTTTATCACACAAATAAAAAAAAAATAGCTATAAACGATCACTCGCGTATAAACTATACGTTAGGATGGAGTATACGTGAAACACATAGCCGTGTTACATCATAATAATATTTTAGAGATGAAAGTTGGGAGGAGAATTCTATTGCTATTATTCGTGCACCATGCGTTATACGCGCGTGCATGTTTATTTGCAACAGATTTACATACATTTTTGTGCGTTTGATTATACATTATTGACGTCATGCCTGCTATATTTTCCATAAACAGTATTTATTGTTGTTAATAAAAACACATTGAGAAAAAATTCGTCGAATAGATTTCTTTTTTTAATCTTTTATTCCTAAAATTAGAAAAAAAAAAAAAAAAAAAAAAAAAAAAAAAAAGAATAGATAAGAACAAATGGATAGGATTTTATAATAGATGATAAATATACATCACCTAAATCTTTTTATTCGTTCAACATTTTGATGTTAATTATAATATCATTTTAGCTGCATCTATCTCTTTAGTTGCAAATAGTATTGCCTAATTTAAATTTGTCTAATAGTCGTGTAAACATAATATAATACTATACTGTTAAAAAAATATATTTACTAGCGATAGACTAGGAGATTCGATAACTGTAAGTGGCACAGAGAAGTATCCACGTAAACTTGCATTTTAAATGTTCAATTCTATCGAAATTGATCTCACCAAAGAATATAGCACGTAAAAGTCAGAAACGTGATAATAAAAGTTCTATTCCAATAAATATATAATATATATAGTCTTCGACTAGATTATGCTTAACACGAAGATATATAACTATATTAAAGACTAAATTGTTCGTCTTTTTTTGCTTTTCTTCATAATATCATTAAAAGTTCCAAAAATGCAACAAATTCGTAAATAAACCTTTGCGATAGGATTATTATTATATTATATCTAATTATTTTAAATGATTTAAAATTATATTAAATCTGAATGGGTAAATAGGACGATAATATGTAGTCATGGTCCTCGTATTTGGAATGAGATGTTTCTCTCGTATAACACTAAACGTATGATATATACGTAGTATAGTTAGATACACGCGTATGATAATTTTCTTCATTTTGGTAACATGTAATCACATATTTGTTACTATTAGCAGGTAACACTTTTCCTATCGAGGATATAGAGCTAAGAAAAGATATTAACTCGGCAAATAGAATATCTTATCAAGACTATTTCATGTAGTGTGCATCTCGTTATAGATATAGTGATTTCTTTTTTTGTTTTTTTTTTTTTGTTCTTTTTGTTTTTTTTTTTAAGAGCAAAAAAAATATATATATATTAGAAGGCGAGTTATAAAAAATAAGGAAGATTTCTCACCAGAAAGTCGAGCATATATCTGCTTAATTCTACTTTCTAGTTTTGTGCTTCATACCAGAGTTTGTAAATCATCTTCCTCCAAGTCTTTATTATCGGAGGATGAAAGTAAGGGTCACATTTTAAATAAATGTGGAAATTCGTTGCTGATTTCACGTACCAATTGTTGGTCCTCTTGACTCTCAGGTGTTTCCTCACAAAATATCCTATGTTTTTAAAAATAACAAAAATGATATAGACCATTTGTGATATATATTATATACCTCTTATTTACCTTGTAAAACATTTTAAAAGATCTTCCGATTGATGCCGATGTTCATTATAACTTGAAGTACGTAATACTCTGCGACACAATTCTAAATATTGTCTTCGCTATATAACATTAATTTTTAATTTAGTAAATTTCAATATAAATATTGTATTATGTACTTTAAAATAATCTTTACCTTATCGCCAGGATACATATCAAAAAGTTGCCTCAAAATAATTTCAATCAAGACTTTTACATCATTAGTATAGAAAAGACCTGCCGTGTAGTCGTTATTAAACAAATCGATAAACAATTTCAATACGGAATGAGGAGGCTGCGGTTCGTGATCAAATATTCTTACTGGATCCTCTGTAATATATTGCAATAATATTATAAAATAACTTTCATATTTTTTTTCATATATAAAAATTTATAAAAATAAATTACCTTCTCTGTTGAAAAGGAAAAGGATTTTTTCAGTAAAAATTTTTGCTACCGTTCTCTCTTTTAATGCACTTATTACTGAATTTTCCGAATTCGTAAATTGCAGATTATATGATAATATTAAATTGATGAATAAATCAGGAATCTGATCTTCTAAATCAGAATCCGGTGGATTTTCTATTAAATCCAAAAGGAACGAGACGAAATCAGATCCTAGTTGTTCTACAATCATTTTCATAATGCGATAATCATTAAATTAATGTACATATTATTGTTGTATTTCAGCAGATGTAATGTACTACCTACTTTACTCACCCCAATGTGTAACTGGCATTGGTTCACCCATTGAAAAAATCATACTAAGCAGCAATGAAGAATAATTTAATTTCTGTACATTTCTTGGATTACTCCTCATATCTCTAAACAAATTTAGAAAAAAAACTTTCTGGTTTTGCATATGTAACATTAAACTATGCAAAACTATGTTACCTTGCTAATTCCATTGGTAATATGCTGTTTAACATAATAGTTAAAATAATAGAATCTAAACTACACATTACACCAAACGATTGCAACAATAATTGTCTTATAGTCCATCTTGGCTCCATTTGATAATACTGAATTAATACATTAACACCGTCGTATTGATCTTGTTTTAAGATGTACCTCGAAACATTTGCATCTGCATTTGTCTATGATAGGAAAATTATTACATATATATAGATATATAAATATTTAATTATATCAATCGAAAATATTTCAAGAAATTTTATCTACAAAGATAATACCAATATGGATGTAAGCTCAGTGATGTTTTCTACTATAACAGATTCATCCTCATAAAGCATCCAATTTCTTTGCTGAGAATCTTCTTTGCGAGTAGTGAGTTCAGTAAATATAATTTTCAGTCTACTTGCATCATATGTTTCTTCGATATTCATTTTTGATACCGTTAACGGTGTCTCTAATTGATGCAATAATGCTTCAAAATAATGATTAACACTATCAGGTAACAGATGTTGTAACTCGTTCACGACAACAATGACCGCCACTTTAGACATTTCATAACTTAATTGAGTATTTCGACGAACTTTGTCGAGTAATTGATAAGCCGTTTTGGAATTTATATTACATAATGAATTATTTTTAACAGGCGAACCATTGGGAGAGGTTTTTGCACTAGTCTGCGAAGGACTCTTATGTACTTCTGGCGTAGTAGGATAAGCTTTTTGAATCGTCTCTGAACTAGACTGACGAGGGAAAGATTGTCTACGTTGTTCAGTTGCAGACTGACGTCTACATTGAGTATTATATACTTCTCCTTGATCGGAATTACCATGGAGAGTAGTTTGCGCAGTTACATAAGAAGTATTACTCTGTATAAGTCTGACATCTCCATCTGAATTAAGACAGACAGCAGGAGGAATAGTTTCTTTGGTCGGTGTAGTATTTCCAAAATCAGGAGCCATTGGTGCTTGTCTCTTGTGACTCGATCCAAGTTGTTTCTTATTTAAAACTATTTGTTTTCTTCTCGCCAACAAATTACATAACAAATCCTGCTTGTGCGTATCACCGCTTTTATTAATTTCTGATTGTAGAGTCAATATTGTTCCGTCCAAGAAGTCGATTAAAAATTGTGGCTGTACCTGATGATCAGCGCGTGATTAAAGAAGAATTTGAAAGTACATTCGAGCATGACTTGACATACCTTTTTGATAGTGACATAATTGGATGGAATATATCCAACCTGAGCTTTACTATTCACTACTTGCCACCAATTTCTTTGCTTAGTATTTGTTTGATGTAATATAAAATGTTCTCCTTCATGAAAGCTAAGAGTTTTGGCGAACGTAGCCTCGAAGTCGTACAACGCCTTAAGCATTTCATAATTTTCTAAATACGATTAAAATTAATAATATTAAAATTAAATCATGACACAAATTAAATAAATAAATGAGTTAAATGATTTATTAAAGGGAAAATAAATGAATCCGTAAACTCACCTAACCTCGCATTATTCTCCCCCATCGTTTAGATAGTTAAATGCACAGTACACTTTCGCCAGGGACACACCCAAATAAAAACTAGACAGACAGGAAACTACTCGGCGCAGGCTACGAACATTTCACTTTCAATTCTGCTCGACATAATAGTTTTCTTGCTCCTTTTTGTGGATACACACGCAAGAGTAAATGCTTTCGAAAAGATTTCGAGAAAGGAGCCCTCTATAACCAACAACTCAAATCGCAGTTTTTAAATGCACCAAAAAACAGTGCAGTTTAAGCACAAAATTGGTGCAAAGGATAAATAGATACAGATATATCTCGAGTATCGATCGAGATGCATCGTGTTTATTAATTCGAAAACATGAGATCATAAAAAGTAAAAAATTTTTATTAACAATATTGTTCTATTACAATAATGAGGCATTTGTTGTGCATGATGATTTAATACATTGAATGAACTAGGGTAGGAGTAGATGATGAAAAAAGGGGTCACGTAGAATCGAACATTCCAACTCCTAACAGTAAATTTCTTCTAGAAAAATGTAAAGCTAAAACTGGAGAATTTTTTGTTGGAAATGTTCGCAATAAATAAGCTTCAGCATTGGTTTTTACATCAGGATTATGCGAGACGTTAACATCTTCCAAGCTCATTTCTTCTGCTAACTTTGTAAAATCCCATAATATTATAGTACAATCCAAGGAACCTATTATCACAAGCAAAAAGATATTAATTTAATTATTTCAACGAAGAAGAAGACTATAGAAGTTGTTTCGTTAAAGAAAATAATACCAACTTACCCGAAACTAATATATTTCCATCTCTACTGAAAGATAAACAATGTATGGAACCTGTGTGGCTAGATAAAGCAGCTACAAGATGACCATGTGCTAAATCCCATACCAGCACACGATGATCTGCACCAGCCGATGCTAAGAATCGTCCTTCGGCCGAAAAAGCAAGAGAATATATTGGAGCTTTATGACCGGTCATTAATCTTACTTGACTACCGTTTACGCAATCCCATAATCTCACGGTCATATCGCTGGAGCCGGTTGCAATGTAATTTGAATTAGGATGAAATTGCACGACCTATAAAATCATTATTATCTATTTAAAGAAAAAGAAAAGAATGCTAAAATTTATTTTTTGACTTTTTTTCTTTAAATTAATATAACTTACATCAACGTCAGAATAATGGCCAGCAAATATTCTAAGAGGCTGATGACAATCGGTTGCCCAAAGTCTAGCTGTTTTATCATGAGAGGCTGTTGCAAAATAATAACCATGAGGTGAAAATTTTGTACACCATACAGGAAATAAATGGCCTTTGTAACAAACTACGCATGTCCATGTATGAAGTGACCATAATCTCACTATAATTTAATAAATACAATCTTTGTAGAATAATATACTAATTGTAAGAAAAAAGTATGGAAGAGTTAATCATATTTTTACCTGTAGCATCTTCTGAACATGAAAGTAAAAGACTTCTATCTGGACTAAAGGAGAGATTGTATATTGGTCCGCTATGTCCATACAACGATCTCGTTATTTCTGCTGTTCTGTCATCCATCATTCTGACTAATACATCATCTATAACGCAAATGCAAAAAATCATTTATATATATTTAGATATATGAAAGATATAAATTTCAAAAAAATATTTCATTTTAATACCTGCTTCTCTATCAATATCTTGTAATTGTTCACCAGACTTCATATGTCTTAATTTTTGTGGAACTAAACTCCATACTTTAATAGTAGAATCACTAAACCCAACAGCTAATAAACTTGAATCTTCTGATATTTCAGCTGCTGTTACGCTATATAAATTTTAACATACATTTATTAATTATAAAATCATACAAATTTGTTTTATTAATGTATATAGTTTTATACTTACGTATGTACAGTATTAAGTAACGTGTAAAAGCAAATAGAAGGCAATGTGTCAGGACCAAGAACAACTCTTTTAGATGCTTCTCTCATTGCTTTAACTTTCTCCAATTTATCTACATCTTTTCTAAATGAAAATAATAAAATTAGTAATATGATTTTAAAAATCAAATTTATCTTAACATATAAATGTATCCAACTTACAAATTTGGTAATGGCATTCTACCTACAGATGGTGCATTAGGATCTGATTTGGTCTTTTTTGAAAATAGCGGATCTTTTTTAGCTTTTTTCTTTTTTGGTTTGTCTCCATCTGCACCAACTACATCATCTTCTTCTTCTTCGGCCGGTGGAACACATTGAATATCTGGTTCCTTTAAAAGGCCATAATAAACTTTCGTTTTATTATCTGTAAAGAATATAACTCATAAATATGACTGCGTTAAAAAACTCATTAATACTAATTAATTTACATAAAGGGATACAATACCTTGCCTTGTCGCTTCACCCACAACAGCACCTGAAGTAGCTTCAATTTGTTGTTTATTACGAGCAACTCCTTCGTACATATCAAAATACAAATGTTCTTGTATAATATTCAACAACACGCTGTGCTTTTTTTCTTGCAAATGTCTTTTTAATATCGATAAAGTATCCCTCGACATTCTTATAATAAATTGATTAGATCTATAAAAATGCATTAATTGTATGAAATAATTATTTTTTTAAATGTGGATATATATATCGCAAACCAAACTAAGTACTTGAATGTATCAGTCAATTCATTGCCTGCCATTTGTTCCCGTTTAGTAACATTCGAAAGCCTTTTTAAATCAGCTTGATAATATTCTTCTAAATTTCCTCCAAACTTTGCTATCAATTGTTTAGCTTCTTCCGAATGATTATTATATACTAGTTCTAGATACATATGTACCAATACTGGATACAATATCGTACCCAACTCGTGCTAAACGTAAATGTCAAAATATGAGTATTTTTGAAAGGAAGTATCAACATTTATAAGTTTTTTTGTATTATTATCTTACCTTGTATATATCTAAAGAACTTTCCACAAATTTCTTTAATTCACTATATGCTTTTTCATATAGTGCAGGATCACCTTCGCTCTTGTAAGCCGACAGAACACTGCTTACTTCTGAATCTGTTTGTTCAGTTTCATCTGCAGTTACATCTGTTAGATTTGCTTCTTTCCTAAATAATTCTTCGGTTCCCTAAATAAGAAAATCAAAGAAATATATCCAGACATCAATTTTATCATGAATGTTTACATAGACATTGAGGTTATATATTTACTTATTCAAATAAATCATTAATTTACCTTCAAGTTATATTTCTTAAGAAATTGCAGGATAGCAAGCATAGTATTCTTTTCGTTTTCCATATTTGTTTGAATTATTTAATATGTCTTTACTAATAAAATAAACAATTATCACAGACAACTAAAAACTTATTTCAATTCAAATATAGCAATGATCATGTAGATACAAGAAAGTCGACAAATGATCGATTTTAAACATGAACTATATTAAGGTTATACACTACATTTACGCGAAGAGTATGCGACTTCAGCACCAACTATGGATAAAATATGAACTAAAAGTAGGAGCTAATGTAAGAACTATTCTCATTCGTGCTTATGATTGGTTGGTGCTTAAGCATATGGTTAGAACAGTCTTTTCAATCTTTACTTTCTCACTGAACAATTACAAATTTTTAAATTATTATAAGCCAAATATAAAATAATAAATAAATAGTATCGTAAATTTTTGATAATATATACGTAATATTAATAATATTGTTAGAAACATTTCGCGGCACAGTGATGAAGAATCACTGGTGTACTTACATTAATGTGAACTAGAGTATTAGCATTAGTAAGCTGAACACATTTTAATTTTGTCAAAAATAATCAAAAAAATTGTTAAATACTTTATATAAAGTTTATATTTAGTCTATTTTTTAAAATTAAGTCCATTTACTGAACTAACAAACTGTAAATAAATAAATCTATCATTCTATATATTATTTCAATAAAAATAGAATATACACTACGCATACGTGTGAGTGCACTTCCACGTATTTATGGGGTAGAAATCTTTGCGTATTCTTTTTTAAATAGTTCCATTTGTAAAAATAGTCCACTTTATAATAATACTATTACTACTAATAATAATAACAATAATAATATTATTAATAAATATGTATATATAATAAAAATAACAATATACGTAGGTGGGTTGGAAAATCTTGTGCTTAATATAAAAAACAATTACTTTATTCGATCAAATCGGTGGACAAGCAACAACGTTGGAAAGAAATCGATTTCGAAGGATTGCAAGAAAAAAAAAACAAGTTTCATTTGTTGACAATAATTTAAAAATATAATTAGGATAGTTTTTCTTTTTTTTTTTTTTAAAAAGATACAATTGCGAGTTTATGAAAAAATCACGAACTCTATTGAGATTTATTTGTTTCTTTTTCCTTTTCATGCCATAAGTTGAAAGCTTTGTTGAAAAAGGGTGGGGAGGGAAGAAGGGTTTAAAGCACTGTTCCAGCCGTGACAACCGAACGGTATGCAGATACCAAGTTGGGGGTAAATCGGGAAGCCGTACCGTACAGAGACTGTAGTGATCGTAGTCACTCCGAACAGTCAACGACATTCTGATACGACCAACGTAACGGAGAACAGTTCAAGGTAAGTGATTTTACTGTATATATAAAGTACTTGAATTAAAAAAATTATTTATATTTATTCAAATTTTACATTCTTTTTTAAAGACATTCCCAAGAGTTTTTATTAATCACGAATAAATGAAAAGAATAAAATTGTTATTACAAGATTACAAATTATGTTTTATTTTTGGCAATATATAGAGCTTAATAAAGATATTATTATTATTATTATTATGTTCTTTCATTAAATATTTTCAATAAATTTAATTTAAAATAACATGTAGAAAATATATTTTTACCTTAGACGACTTCTAAAAGAAAATTATTAAATTTGTCAACGCATTCAAATTTTATTTGTATTTAAATATATAATTTATATTAAAATGACTAAAAAAATTAATAACGTAATTAATAATATCACATTACGTTAAATCGTTGCACATTTTATAAATATCGGTGCAATTTTTATGGGTAGATCTTTTTTATATAACACTTTTAACAATGTATTTAATTTTAAATAGATTTTGTTTGTTTGTTTGATTTGTGAATGCATTTAAATGGATAGAAATGAATTGAATGTCTCGTTAAGTCTGGTGATATGCAAAATTGTTAAATACTTTTTATAATTTCATGAATTGATGATAAGTGACTCGCGTTCTTCATGAGATGTTCCTCGTTGTCGTCGTGATAATTAAGAACAGTAAAAGAGTAAACGCGGAATGAAACGTTCTTATGGGCCGACGTAACTGTAAATTTGCAGGCGTAACCTTGTTGCCGGTGGTTACACTGTTACAAACTCGACGAAGATTTGTTCCGCTATGTGTCCATATCTTTTGCCCCGGTCGTGTCATTTGCGTTTTATTTAAACGCGTGCACGTCGCTTCCTTTTTTTTATTTTTTTTTTTTTTTACTTTTTTTTATGTAGCCACGGTTGCAGAACAGAATTTATGCTTTGTTGTAATTTATTATTTAATAAAATACAGCGAAGAATTTGTAGATAAATCGCGTCACCGTTTGGAACATTGAAATAATTAAATATTAATTTACAATTAGTTTAATACAAAACATTTAATTTCTTTTTACTCTATACTCGTAATTTTTATTAATAATTTGATCAATCGTTTAAAAATTATTTTCAACAAATCTAATTAAAAGTAAAACACTAAAACACATTTCTTTCTTTCTTTCTTAATATATTTTTTATTTTTCTAAAAAAAAAAATAAAATAGCGAACGAATGAGAAATTTGAGATTTAACGTTTTAAGACAATGAAATATTGAAGTTGAATTGTATTAATTTTGTCGAATAATATCTAACGTCTGTATTTTGGGAGAATTTGAGTTGAGAAATCGTAGCATTAGTGTTCATTGGTGGTCTTCTGTAAATAAACGTAAGGGGAGAGCGAACATAATCGAACAATCGAGCGAATCGCAGCAAATCCGGCCGGAACTTGGCGTATAATGCCGCGGAAACGAGTGGGAAATTATATTTGTTATGGAGAATCGGGAATTCGAAGCGAGTTGTGTCGAGCAGCGGTTCTACGGACCCTGAGAACGATCTCATCCGAGCGCATCGGAAAGACCGGACGGAACTTTCGTTTAAATGTCTATGTGTCCTCGTCTGTTGATTTCAATTTGTCCTGCTACGCCATTTTTTCAAAGACTTTTTTTTTATTCGTGTATCATCCATTTTTCCTATATTATATTATTTTTCTAATTATTCACACACACACACATACATTTAGAATCATTGACACTTTTCTTCCAAATTTTATACATTAAATTTGCTTTCTCATCTATATTATAAATAATAATTTTAATTTTAATTATTAATTATATATAAAAAAGAAAATAATTATATATGGATAATAAAATAAATTAAATACAGACCGAGACGTCGCGTTACTTCTGAACGGTAGCATGCTCATACTAAATATAATAATTAGTAAAGAATTGTAATTAGTTCGAGCACGGATATTACATTTTGACTGGCATGTAAATGATCAAAGGAAAACCGTGACATTCGTTCCGGGATGAACAAAAGAATGAAACGAATGGCGCATTGATCCTTTTTTTTTTTCATGGTTATATAAAATTAATTATAAAATATCCTTTTTTTTCTTTTTTTTTGACGAATTCCAACGAATGAAAAGAATTTGTCTACACGAGACAACTATAATTATAATCTAATTTATTGTAAAAATTATAATAATATTAATAATAAATTAATATTACACTGTATGTGTGATTGATCCCATTTTTTGTCTTCTTTATTTTTAGGTAAATCAAGATGAGTATCCTAGGATCGTGTATAAGCCTTTTAATCTTTCATCTGGTATCGATCAAGGCAATCGGTGTTGGCCAAGCATGGCGAGTATCGCCATACTCAAAGACCGATTATTCATTGGAACATCCATCTTGGCCTCGATTGGATTCATCAGCGTTCGAAGTACGCACTGTCAGTGGTGTAGGTCGTTTTGTACCTTTCAATGATTTACGAAGCTTTCATAATAATCAAATAATAGAAAAAGTCGACAACGTAGAACCGAATTCATTGATCGAGCAAGAAAATATCGAACGCGATTCGAGAGAAATGTCACAGTTCCGAGACGTTTTAATAAAGAAAAATAGAAATGTTAGAAAGGATTTGTCGTTAGATCAAAAAATGATGGAGGACACTGTTACCTATCCGCAAAAAATATTTCGTACAAAAGTTTCTATGAGGGTATTCCCGATCGACAATTGGGATAAATCATTAAAAATCGATGATAAATTAGACAAAATTAAAGAAATGGATAATCATCGTGTACGCCGTGAAACGGAGAACGATACTAACATGGACAAAATAGGTACAATGTTGACCCTTCGCGAGGCAAGATTAGCTTCACCGGAAATATGGTCGAAACAACCGTTGTCCGTTGAATTTCGTCATCGTTCGAACTTCGAGCAACCACTACGAGATCCAAACAATGACGAGGATGATACGTCGATCGGTATAAGAAATTATCAGGGTCCACGTGCCGATTTCGTAACGAGTCATTATCATCGTCGTGGTTATCCGGACAATCGGGAATCTCGCGATACATTTGTATCTAAAACTTTCGATGACATTGATCTACCATGGTACAGGAATATGATCAGAGAAAGGGATTACGATATATCACCAATACCGCGTCGCAGTTATTCCGAATATTATCGGAATTATCCTGAAAGAAATTATAGAATGGAAAGGGATTATTACATGCGTGTACCAAACAACGAGCATTCTTATTATTACGATCGTTACAGGGACGAGGATCTTGATCTTTACGGTAGAAGCAGGCCAACACCTAAACCTAAAAGAATTATTTATTATGCTACATTACCGGAAATCGTAAGGAAGCCTGTTGATCTAAGAAATTATCCTAGAACACCATACCACGATGGTGGTTTAACCAGGACAACCGTGACACGTGGTGGAACCTTCGAACGTGTACCCGGTAACGTTGATCCTAGCAGGTATCGTTATCGACATCTCTACGATGGCTATGATTCTTATTCTAAAAGATCGAGCTTTTACGATCGTCCTTACGTTGGATACAGGGATGACGAGGATCGTAGAAAAGGATCAATCAAGGAGAACTTAAACGACCATGATTCTGGATTCGAAGCCAGTAACGACAGGAATGTGGTCAATCAAATTCAAAATAGAGACGATGGGAATAAATTACCGTGGCCTGTACAAATTGGTACCGAAGTTAGTGTCAAGGACGACGACAGGATTCACGGGAGAAAAATTTTTGGCGATACAATAGGTTTCGAAAGATTACAGAATTCGCCCGAACATACTTCGAACAACGAAACTACCGAAAAGAATATTAATTAAGAGTTATTATATAGTTTTCTTTTTTATTAATTTTTTAGCTCACGTGAATTGTGAAATGATCACTTTCTTTTTTTTTTTTGTTTTTTGTTTTATTTTATATATATAATTATATATAAATATTATTCTCTAATTTAGTTAAAAGATTTGTGTAATGGACGAGTACAATGGAATCTTCATTATTCGAATATTTGTCATTTACATTTTCATTTGGATTATTTATAAATGTTTAATAGTAATGTGTATTTAGTTTGAAATCTTTTTCTTTGAATTTTATAATCAATTAAATTTGTTCGTTTTATTAGTTTATTTGGATAATGGAGGTTTTAGTATATTCACATTAAGAAATGGGGGAAAATAGTTGATTTTCTATTGTTAATCGGGTATAGAAAGGTTTATTGGTTAATGGGTTCTCGGTAATGGTGATTGGGAATGGTCTAATAATTCGCTAAATTTTCGCGAGAAAGATCATTTTTATCTTATGGAAAAAGGAATAGTATTTCTTAGTTTTATCACAACGAAAGTACGAGGCTTCCTTTTCGTTCGTACATTTAAAAATATTTTCTTTTTTTCTTTTCTTATTAATTTACGACAATCGTTCATGCTGACGTATGAATTTTGTCGAGGGTTGTTTTAAATAAAAATTTAGCCAAACCATCCGAGAAACTGTTCTTCGATGTGATCTTGTTCAAATCTGTTAACCAAGTATTGATCTGTGCGTGTGTTTAAAGAAAATGAATTATTTTTTAAAATCACAATAACTTCATAAAATATATTTCTTTTTAAGTTTTTCATTACCGTGTTGGATTTGCCATTCATAAATTTGGCCAATTCTTCGGGCGTCATGTTCAAAATATTGCATGCAGTTTCACGTGCTTCTCTCTCGCATGCTTCACTTCCATATAAATTTAATTTTTCACCTTCTTGTTCGTCCCAATGATCGTGAATTTGTTGTAAAAATTCCTAAAGATAAAAATACTCGATCGATCGTTCACAGCATTAAAATATGTGTAAATTAGAAAGCATTTAGTTTAATTAAAAAGTAAAGAAAAAACGTTTACCTTGATGGCTTTCGAATATTCGTAATTTTTACTCTCAAATGCAATTAATTTGTCTTTCAAAACTTTGATCGCATCTTCACATTTAATTTTAACAGAATTAATTTCATCCTGCATCGATTCCTCGTACTTTCGATTTATTTCGGATTCGATCTGTGTCGTAGATAATAAACGATTATTTTCATCAATTTATAAGTTATTTAAGTATATATAAATATATACATATATATATATATTTATATATGTGTATGTAGTTGTACATTTTTATAAACAATATTAAAGAAAATATTTTCAATCGGAGTGGCATGATTATTTTTTTACCTGTTGTTTTAAATTTGTCTGAGATTTTTCAACTTTGCAAGTAAGGTTTTCCTTCTCTTCGTTTATTAAAGAAATCTGGGCATGAAATCATTTATTTAAGTTATAAAGGTTATTTATGAGCGCGTACACGGATAGAAATTATTTATATACTTTGGCTTTGAGTTGCGCGTTGGTGGTTCTAAGTGCAGTCAATTCGTTTTCCAATTCTTTGATCTTAAACGTAAATAGATCTTTTTCCTTGGTAAGATCCGATAGTTGACCTTTGTAACTGTTCAGTAAAAATCCTTTATTGGCATTCGCTGATTCCGATCTTAATAATCTATATAAATTATTATTTTATTAAATAATATATAATAATATGTATAAACACAATATTAATTTGAATTAATTAAATTTACACAAATTTGTTGTTCATTTGTTGCTTTGATTACTATATTATAATTATTATATTATATGTAAGAATTTAATTTAATACTATTTTGTAAGAAAAAATATAATATAAAAACAAACTTGTTGTGAAGTTGTTTGATAGTTGCACAATCTTCTTCAGATTTTTTCTTCAATTTAGCCAATTCTCTGTATTTCGGTAATTCTCGAATTTGCGTAGCACTGATCCTTTCATTTTGTTCTTTACCAATCTTCATTTCCATCCATTCTTTCATATCCTCGAATTTTTTACGAAGAGACGTGTTTTCAGCAATGAGATCGTTCAAATTCGTTTCGGTTGTTTCCATTTCTTGTTTTAAACGGGTGAAACAATTGTTTAACGATTCATATTCGTTTGATTTATCTTTCAATTCCTTTCGCGTTTTTGATAATTCATTTTTTAATTTTTTCGACTTGGTAATTGCATCACGTAACTAAAACAATTCAATTTATTTATTTACAATAAATTATTGACGATTAATATTTCGTTTCGAATGAGGTTTACTTTTTTGTATAATCGTTTAGATAATTTTCCAAAATATCTCGAAGATTTATGATTATTATTTCGTCGAGATACATTTGTTTTGTTATTCGACAACGCGTACGATCCAAATTTGTCTAATACCGAGGTGCATATTTGTATGATTTTTTGTTGCAACGCTTCATTCTCTTTAGAGGCTTCCACTTGCACATTTTCTACAATCCTATGATAAGAAATATTGATTTATTAATTAATATTTAACTCTTTTGACTATATAAATATTAATATAAAAAAAAAAAAGAAAAGAAAAAAACGAGATAAACCTTTTACACTTCTCTTTAATAAAACTTTTTTTTCTTATCGCTTCTTCGAGTTCTACTTTAGTTTCGGAAAGTTTGTTCTCCAACTCGGTAATAATATTTTCATATCTGATAGAATAATATTCATTTTTATTCGTAAAATATACTCATTTATAGCTGCAAATAATTCCTTTTTTTTTCCATTTGAAAGATAATTTTCTAATCTTATTATTTTTGTATTTTCGAAAAGTATGGAAAATATTTGAACATTCGTATTGAAACTTACTCAATTTCTTTGTTGATCGGTTCCACGCTTTCTTGCCATTTCTTTCTAATTGATTAAGAATTGTAATTGTAATAATAATGTAAAATAAAATGAAATAAAATAATAAATGAGAATTTATTTGACATTTTTTTTTTTTTAAATGTAATCGTAGTTTAAGAGAAATTTGATGAAAATCGGTTAGAAATATTTTTTACATACTCTTTGCGTACCTCATCCCCTCTATTAAGGGCTTCTTCGATCAACCATTGAGGTGCAGGTTCTTCAACGATATTCATACATTTTTTGTATCCACAATGAAATAACGAAGGAGTTGAACGACTCAGACAATTATTTTCATCCGTGTACACACTTTTGTCTTTATCCTCGTTACAAATTGCATTAGTTTGCGTGAAGTTATTCTTTGTCTCAACATTGCTTTTCTGAACTGAGACACAAAACAATTTTAATAAATAATTTTATTAATAAGAGAGTAAGAGAAAGGAAAAAAAATTATTTAATTAAAATATATCAATTTAATATAATTTTTTCTTAACAAACAATAATTTCTTTTCTTTTCTATTAAATATTTTACATTAAAAAAATAACAAATAATATAAAAAAACAATTGTAATATACAATATCAAATTTATATTTTAATACTAAGTGACCCCCGACAGACGTTATCCTGTCTTAGCTGTGAATATTCAATTCGAACTGGAATCTATATTCCAGCAAATTATGGCGTCACCAAGGGAAACACACAGAGATTCATTTTTATATATTTAGATAGATAGATTTCGTAATTCGCGCGATTACAGTTTACGACGTTACCAACTAAGTTATACGCGAATGTTACTGTAAGCTGTCTCCACCTACAGTACTAATTAAGTACTAACTTGAACTAAAATAAAGTCGATAAAAAAGTTAAGTATTTAAAAAAAAAAATAATAATAATTTCTATATAAAAAAAGAAAAGACAACAAAAAAAATGTTTTTTTTTATTTTCATTTTATATTCATGAATCAAAGAACGTTGAAAAAAAATATTAAAAGGAGGTAGATATAATTAATGATAGATAAGATAAGAAACGCAGAGAGAAATAGTGTGTGTGTGTGTGTGTGTGTGTGTATGAGTGAGTGAGAGAGAAAGAGAGAAGGGAAAAAAATTATAAAACGATTACTAAAAGGGATCGTTAAGGAAGGAAAGAATTCGACCGTTAATTAACTTTGGTCGTGTCGACGTAAAGAGGTCCGATAATTTATCGCGAAACGATAAATTCGTGGATTCGATCGGTGGGTAAGGTGAAACTTTTGTGGAGGAGGAGGTCGATGATATTATTGGATATTATCGGGCCATATGGAATTTGGGCCTTAAAATGATCCCCCGTGCAGAAAATTGCTAACGACTTAAACGTTTGGGCGTTGCAAGGGGACCCTAAGTTCCGAGGACCCAGTTATGATGGATGGACTTTGACTAGTCTGTAATTTGAAGGCGTTATATGTGTACCTCTAACACGTTGTTCGAAACAACCATCCCCTCCATATGTCTCTCTCTCTCTTTCGTTGTATTTTATTATTTATTCTTATTTATTTTTCTAAAGTAAGTTTTATAACTCAGATTTTTGATATATATGTGCATTTACGTTTATTAAGAAACTTTTTATCTATCCTATTTCAATTATAAACTGTTGTTATAGACATGAAAAAAATTGGATCAACGGTGAAGTATTGTAAATGATTATAAAAAATTTCGGCATGTAAAAATAAAATCAAACATTTCTTCTTCTGGTTCTTTTTTTTTTTCTTTTTTAATGTCATTTATCTCGTTTCTTATTAGATTCAATAAAATATAATAATAAATCAAAATGAATAATATAACGAAGCTAAAATTGCAAGGATGTTTCGTTAAATGTAACCGTGTATTTTACTCGTGGAAACTTAATATCACCTTTTTTTATGTATTTTTTTTTCGTTTTAAATATATATATACACACACACACACACACATACCCGCGCGTACATATATACGTATATATTATATCCTATTCTTCGAAATCAATCGTGACTACAATCGGAGTTATCGAATAACTCAGCGCTCGCGTTCCATTATTTTGCATTAATTAATACTTGTTAGCACGGACTCACGTAATATTTTGCGAATGCTACGTGTTGAACAGAGTAACTAATTAAATTTGTTCGCCAATTATACTTGCAATCCGATGCTGCCAATTTTCTCTACGTTTTGCCCTTTGGTACACTAATTAATTTCCACGGTCGAGCTCACTTTATTTACGCGTGACAAGCTTCAAAATTGCACCCACATGTCGGGTATATTTACGGGGGCCCACGTTTAATGCAGACTGCGCCGTAGAAAAATACTCTAACGTTACGCCCCACGTTATATTTGCATTCTGGGCTCCCGAAAATCTAACTCTACCGTTTTAAACTATCCCGATATCCTATGCTTCACGTTATTACATACGATTATCCTACCACAAAGATGATACGCGTGTTGCCACTTTATTGTTTATTGTTTTATTACAAATGTATCGTTACGATCATCGTTCGAATAATTAAATCAAATAGATCTGCCAGATCTAAATTCGAATGAAAACTATTCGATCAGTTTGCTTCAATCAATTTTCGCGTTTAATTTTTCATTTTAATTTAAAACTAAAATCAAAGAGTATATACAATCGATACTAACGATTATATGTTTCTTTCCCTATGACCAAAATGAATTTGTTTTGCTACGAATATACTTTCGTCTAAAAAATATATAATTCATGAGAAAACAATTTCAACGAAAAATAACGTATATTTCGCTTTTTTTTATCCTGATCAAAATTATCAAAAAAAGAAAAACGAAACAAGAATATAAAATAACTGCTGACATTTAGAAAAGTAGATATTTTTTTTTTCTAAGAACCGAGTGTTAGGTACGAAATGATGTTTGAGGTTATACACCGGTGTGTTCCATCCCGGTTTCGATACGCAAGAGCGATCAGCCGGTGAACCCTCGACCACGAGTGCCCACCCCGCTAACGTGGAATTATTGTGGATAATATGTGGATAGTTAGTCCGCGATTAGCCTGTCCAGTGGATTATATTCCTCCCCTTTTCGTTCCCGCAGTGCCCCGCGGCTTGGCAACATCATGATAAATGACCGAATCCTTTACAAGTTTTTAGCCGTGAACCGTTTAGTTCATCTCATCTTCCCTCCCCCTCCCCCTGCCCCTGTCCCCCTCACCCCAACGCGACCACCACTCATCTCTTTTCCAATCGTTCCTTCCTTCCTTCTCTACGATTCGTGACTCTTCCTTTTTTTTCCCCCTTCTTTCTATCTATTTCTTTTTTTTCTATCTTTTTCTCTCTCTTGCTATTCCGGCGAAGGTCGCAACCACAATCACGCTGTAAATCATCGTAAACGTTGACGTAAATGCCACGGGTAATTAGATACACTTACTGTCAGTTGTGATCCTTACTCCTAAGGTATCATTTCTAGTCTCATTTTTGTTATTCAATACTGCCGCGTTCTTGGAAATCTGAAACGTAAAAAGATTCTTCGATTATTATTCGAAAAAAAAAAAAAGAAGAAAAACAAAGTAAGAAAAAAATACACATCGAATAATTAATTAGAAGTAATTAAATTTGTCAATATTTGAGAATAACATTTGAAATGAATAAATATTTTGATCGATCGATAAGATAAAATCATATCAATAAGTATTCTTATTAATTCTAAATTAATTTAATATTAAAACGCGTGAATTAGAAACATTTTTTGACAAAACTTTGAACGAGTGGTGCATTAAAAGATCTTCTGTGATAAATTACATTAAACAATGTTATTAACACGAGAGAGAGTTCAGTTTCTAAGGCATATTCGAATAACGAATAAACGTCCTCGTGAAGATATTTACGGTTGGTCGTTATTAAAATTAAAAGTGCAAGATGATAGTGCTTTAAAAAGTTTAGAGCAACCATTACCAAGGGTAAGATTGTCTCTCTTTCTTTCTCATCCTGTTTTTTCTTTTTTTTTCTTTTTTCTTTTCTTTTTCCGGTACATCGCTAATCCATCGAGCAGCTTAACCAAGCGGATAGGGGGGGTCTAGGTGGGTGGGTGGGTATGGGGGTTGAAGAAGGAAGGGTGGATGGGTGAAGGAAAGGAAAGGAAGCTCGAACTGATGACTTAGAGAGTAAGGGGTGTGTGTTTTCGCGTAGATTGCAAGAGCCAGCACCCCTCTACGGCTAATTTTGAGACTCACCGTTGTTTATTGCCAAATCCTTTTAGCTTCGAATAAGGGGATGAGTTGTTCGGAAGAATAGGAGAATGAGGGAGGGGGTTGGGTAGGAAAGGGACCGAGGGAAAGGGAAATCTTCGTCGCGCGATATAATAAGCGGAAAAGAAAAGGGTCTTCTCTTAGATGTGAAAGAAAAAGGGCAGGGTATAAAGGGGTGGTTAGGTGGTAGGGTCGCGTACTGATCGTTAGTGGTTACAGTAGCAAAGTGTAGTATAGTATTAACGACGTAACCAACTCTCTCTTTTTCTTTCTCTTTCTTAATGATCCCTTTAATACCTGTTTTATTTTCTACCACAACAATTAAACTTCAAATTCGAGTGCTAACTCGAGAATCGTGTGTATTATCGATCAAAAGCTTGAAATCATACGTTGATTTTCGTAAAAATCTAATACACTGATTAATTTTTAAACGATCTATCTACTTGAATATCTATGGTAAATTCTAGAAAAAGAAACACATGAAAAAATATTCAATCAATTTTTCGCACTACGAAGTTGACAATTATTATTTCCATTTAAAATTTCTAGAACAAAACAGATCAATGTACGAAATAGTTTTATTGAAAAAAAAAAAAAAAAAGAAAAATGAATACATTTTACACAGAGTTTCATGGAATTTAGATAAAGATTTGAAACTTTTAACCGGATGCTGTACGTTTGATTTTCTCTATTCGGTGGAATGATGTCGTTAACGATAGGAGAACGGGAACGGGGAATGGATTTCATTCGTTCGATATGCTTTAAGATGATACCTACACTACTACGCCAATGTCGACATTAAAATCGCATTTGCTGGTTTTCCGTTGCCTATGGAAGTTGCGATCATCGATTAGTTCGGCTACTCGTGAAACGGGATCGTAGAGATACTGATTTCCGCATGGTATGCTTGGACGATGTATTACAGTAGTTCAAAAGTATACTGAATCTATATATATATATATATATAAATATATAACTATACAGATGTGTTATAACGAATAGTACGGGGACAGACACTCCTTGTTGAAAAATTTTTAAACAAATTTTTTCTTACTACACATGCTTTTTATTATCCTCGCGTATGCCCGTATAATAATCTCGATGACTCCAAACGTTTTTCTTTTATTTAATCTTTTTCAATGAATAATACGAGAAGAAAAAGTAAAAGAGAATAAATAGTTGGACGGTAATGGAGGAGAGAGGAGCACCTGTTTCAAAAAGGGCAAAGCGTGTTTACGGAATCGGCTTGGTGGTTTTTGCTCGTTCGAACGACGAAGACGTCATCACTCCGTCTTAAGTCGTCGTCTACTTTTTATTCTTTTTATTTTTCTTCTTTTCCATCTTCTTCTTCTTCTACTTGATCTTCTTCTTCTTCTTCTTCTTCTTCGTCTTACGTCGTTTCGACTCAAGTTAAGGTTAAGGGAAAACGTCCGAGAGCGAGCGCATATCGGTTCCCTCGTTTCATCGGAGCTCTCCAATAAGAGTACACCTATAATTTGTAACGTGGCTTGGGTACCGGCCTAATGGAAAAATGCGTTCCGGCCAATTTTACGCGCGGCCGTCAGAGCAGGTTGTTGCCCGTAGTGTGCCGGTGTAAAACAAGAACAACGAAATGAAAGAAGAAAGAAAGAAAGAAAAAAAGAAAGAAAGAAAGAAAGAAAGAAAGAAAGAAAGAAAGAAAGAGTGGATGATGAAGAACATAAGACGAGAATGAACCAAGGAAAGGAGTCGAAGAAACAAAAAACAAAAAAAAAAAGAATGTAAAAAGAATTAAACGAAAAACCCAAAAAGACCTCAAAAAAAAATATAACGTCGACGTCGAATGAAGATGGGCGGGAAGGGGGAGGGTGGATTTAAATGTACCACAAAAGAAAGTTAATCTGTAATAGGATTATAATGCGAATCTCGTCTGGTTCGAGGTTGGTTGAACAAGCCAGGCGTGGTATATCTTTCCTGGTTGTGTCTTCCTTCTTCTTCTTCTTCTTCTTCTTATTCTGTTTTCTTCTGTATTGGTTAGATGCACCAACTGTTATGCATATAACATATACGACTAAAAGTTTCTGATGAGTGTGTACATACACGAGTTCCTTGATCGAGCTCTTTACGTTCACAATTGGTCGGTCGTTCGTTTAACCCTTTAACGTCCTCAAAGTAATCTTACCTACCATTTATAGTAGAATACGATTTGGTACGTTCTTTCTAGACAGATCTGTTGCTGATGATTGTCGGTTATGAAATTTTTCCGTTGCGTTTTTGCGAAAATTTCAACGGAGGATTTTCTTCTTTTTTTTTTTCCTATTATTCTATACAATTTTGAGAAGTGAAAATATCTAAAAATAAAACTGCGAAACGACGTTCATCGATAAAAGCACCGGTGGGGGGGGGAGAGAAGGGGGGCGAGCTACCAAAATATTTCATTTCTATCGTCGAATATATTTCGAATTTTTGCATACCATTCTGTCAAATATATTTTTTATATCTATCAATGATATAACCTACAACGAATGATAAAATTCTATTTACCAAGTTGTATATAAAATATAATATAATACTATGTTATAACATACGAATGTTGTTTGTTGCCATTATACGTGTATATTAAATTTACGTTTATGTACTATCGCGCGTACTTTTTCATATTCCATTAAGAGAGAGAGAGAAAGAGTGAAAACGGTGATTAACGTACGCGCGAATTCGGCTTTATACCCGAAAGACAATTATTTAACTCGTCGAATATCGAATCGTGTTCAATTAGGATTGTATTGATATGAACAACGCGAGAGAATGATTCGCGGAGTTTGGTGCCACGTTGCTCGTTGCAAACCGAGCCGATATATCGAGCCGATTTTCAATCCGACCCCCTCACCCCCCACGGCCCTTGCCCCGCCCCCGGCACCACCCTCCTGCGCTTACGTTTCGCGATACGGATAAATGGATTTCTGTCAGTCAATGTTTCATAATATTTGTTCGCTCATGTTAAATCCTTTCCATCGCGACAATTAGATTCCTTTGATTCGCGTTTAGATATTACTTTTATCCAATACTATTTTCAAATCAAATGCAATTATCTCTTGTGTCGTAGGTAATTAATAAAAATCTAATGGAAGATTAAAAACACAAACGATTGTTCAAACATAGTTAACATATTACTTTTATTTCGTTCGAATGAATTTAATTTACAACAATTCCTAACACACGGTTTTTAACTGTAATATAAAGTTTTTTTTTTTTCTTATTTAACGATAGAACAACGTTATAAAAAAATACGAGAGATCGTTCATTCTTATTTATTATATTATCATTTTAATAGTATTAGTATATATTTTCAAAATTTCTGACACATAATACTGAGGGATTGTGATTGAAAAGTTTCGTATTTCAATAGAAACAAACAAAAATCTTTCATTTATATAATTAAACTTAAAAAATGATTTTTTATTTTCGAACGGAGAAAAATAATCGTTTCCCTACGATTAGATTAAAAACATTTTTCCCAACTCGTATACGGAGACATCATTTCAAATAAAAAATATAACAAAAGTAATAATTACAATTTTAATCAAACTATTTTTATTATACTTTTTTCTCTATCCAATTATCAGATAATCAAAAAATTAACGAAAAAAAAAAATAAAAATAAAAGAAAATAAAATAAAACATAGAAAAACATCTGGACTCTCTCTCTCTCTCTCTCTCTCTCTCTCTCTCTTTCTCATTGTTTAAAAGATAAAAAGTAATAAAATTAAAAATCAAATTGTGAAAAACTCTATATAGGGTAGTTATTATATGTTTGATATAGATGATGAGACACGAACGAGCATGCTCATTATCAAAGAACCCTTTTCTCGATCAGCCCTACCTCTCTCTCTCTCTCTCTCTCTCTCTTTCTTTCCCACCCTTATTCTTTCTCTTTCCATTTATCGATTAAACTCGTACGTACAGACATACATACATACATACATACACACGTAGTATTCGCGTAAATCGTCTGAACGTCGCGTTCTCGCGTTTTAAAGAGGCGAGTGCAAGAGCAAGAGCAAGGCAGGCACCTTTAACGGGTATCGTCGATCTCGGGGGACCTTAAGGGGGCCTTAGGAGGACAGACAGAGTTTCTCTCGTTGGTGTGGGACCAAGCATTTAAATGGTCCCGCGGTGGTGGTACCGGTCGTTATTGCTCGTGGTCTTTGATTAACAACAACGCTCGTGCGGAACGTTCGAGAGGAAAGAGAAACCGAAAGCAAGCAAGCAAGCAACCAAGCAAG